TACCTGTATTAACTGCACCTGTTTGAACTCGTTACCTGTATAAAAGACACCTGTCCACACACTCAATCAAACAGACTCCAACCTCTCCACAATGGCCAAGACCAGAGAGCTGTGTAAGGACATCAGGGATAAAATTGTAGACCTGCACAAGGCTGGGATGGGCTACAGGACAATAGGCAAGCAGCTTGGTGAGAAGGCAACAACTGTTGGCGCAATTATTAGAAAATTGAAGAAGTTCAAGATGACGGTCAATCACCCTCGGTCTGGGGCTCCATGCAAGATCTCACCTTGTGGGGCATCAATGATCATGAGGAAGGTGAGGGATCAGCACAGAACTACACGGCAGGACCTGGTCAATGACCTGAAGAGAGCTGGGACCACAGTTTCAAAGAAAACCATTAGTAACACACTACGCCGTCATGGATTAAAATCCTGCAGCGCACACAAGGTCCCCCTGCTCAAGCCAGCACATGTCCAGGCCCGTCTGAAGTTTGCCAATGACCATCTGGATGATCCAGAGGAGGAATGGGAGAAGGTCATGTGGTCTGATGAGACAAAAATAGAGCTTTTTGGTCTAAACTCCACTCGCCGTGTTTGGAGGAAGAAGGATGAGTACTACCCCAAGAACACCATCCCAACCGTGAAGCATGGAGGTGGAAACATCATTCTTTGGGGATGCTTTTCTGCAAAGGGGACAGGACGACTGCACCGTATTGAGGGGAGGATGGATTGGGCCATGTATCGCGAGATCTTGGCCAACAAGTAAGAGCATTGAAGATGGGTCGTGGCTGGGTCTTCCAGCATGACAACGACCCGAAACACACAGCCAGGGCAACTAAGGAGTGGCTCCGTAAGAAGCATCTCAAGGTCCTGGAGTGGCCTAGCCAGTCTCCAGACCTGAACCCAATAGAAAATCTTTGGAGGGAGCTGAAAGTCTGTATTGCCCAGCGACAGCCCCAAAACCTGAAGGATCTGGAGAAGGTCTGTATGGAGGAGTGGGCCAAAATCCCTGCTGTAGTGTGTGCAAACCTGGTCAAGACCTACAGGAAACGTATGATCTCTGTAATTGCAAACAAAGGTTTCTGTACCAAATATTAAGTTCTGCTTTTCTGATGTATCAAATACTTATGTCATGCAATAAAATGAAAATCAATTACTTAAAAATCATACAATGTGATTTTCTGGTTTTTAGATTCCGTCTCTCACAGTTGAAGTGTACCTATGATAAAAAATTACAGACTTCTACATGCTTTGTAAGTAGGAAAACCTGCTAAATCGGCAATGTATCAAATACTTGTTCTCCCCACTGTATATATATATTTGCAAGAAAAAAAAACATATGGGGGATTGGAAGTGAAGTTTACTATGTTACGTCTAGTCTATGAGACCAGGCTGATGAAATGGTAAGCAGAAATTTTGAATTTGGTTATACGTGGAAATACGTGCCTTACTGAATTTTGTGTAATGTCAGTAGTCTAGTCAAGGAAGCATCATGCAAAATATATTGGCACACTCCACTTAACAAGACCGTTGCCAAATAAGGCGCACTGTCACCTGCTTTTATAGTAAGCCTTGAGGTGGTACCACCCAGCACATCTAGAAGGTAGTGTATTTCATACCGAACCCCTCCCTTGAGATGACGTAAAGGAACCTTCTCAAGGTGCCTCTACATCACAATTTCAACGGTAGAGTTGAACCGCTAGGGGGAAAGAGATAGACTTACCATTAGAAATACCAAAATACAGCGCATTCGGAAAGTATTCAGACCCCTTCACTTTTTCCACATTTTGTTACGTTACAGCTTTATTCAAAAATGGATAAAATTAAAATATTTTCCCCATCAATCTACACCCAATACCCTACAATGACAAAGAGAAAACCGTTTTTAGAAATTGTTTACATAAGTATTCAGACCCTTTGCTATGAGACTCGAAATTGAGCTCCGGTGCATCCTGTTTCCATTGATCATCCTTGAGATGTTTCTACAACTTGATTGGAGTCCACCTGTGGTAAATTCAATTGATTGGACATGATTTAGAAAGGCACATACCTGTCTATATAAGGTCCCACAGTTGACAGTGCATGTCAGAGCAGAAACCAAGCCATGAGGTCGAAGGAATTGTCCGTAGAGCTCAGAGACAGGATTGTGTTGAGACACAGATCTGGGGAAGGGTACCAAAACATTTCTGCAGCGTTAAAGGTCCCCAAGAACACAGTGGCCTCCATCATTCTTAAATGGAAGAAGTTTGGAACCACCAAGACTCTTCCTAGAGCTGGCCGCACGGCCAAACTGAGCAATCGGGGGAGAAGGGTCTTGGTCAGGGAGGTGACCAAGAACCGCGATGGTCACTCTGAAAGAGCTCCAGAGTTCCTCTGTGGAGATGGGAGAACCTTCCAGAAAGACAACCATCTCTGCAGCACTCCACCAATCAGGCCTTTATGGTAGAGTGGCCAGACGGAAGCCACTCCTCAGTAAAAAGCACATGACAGCCCGCTTGGAGTTTGTCAAAAGGCACCTAAAGGACTCTCAGACCATGAGAAACAAGATTATCTGGTCTGATGAAACCAAGATTGAACTCTTTGGCGTGAATGCCAAGCGTCACATCTGGAGGAAACCTGGCACCATCCCTACAGTGAAGCATGGTGGTGGCAGCATCATGCTGTGGGGATGTTTTTCAGCGGCAGGGACTGGGAGACTAGTCAGGATCGAGGGAAAGATGAACGGAGCAAAGTACAGAGAGATCCTTGATGAAAACCTGCTCCAGAGCGCTCAGGACCTCAGACTGGGACAAAGGTTCACCTTCCAACAGGACAACGACCCTAAGCACACAGCCAAGACAACGCAGGAGTGGCTTCGGGACAAGTGTCTGAATGTCCTTGAGTGGCCCAGCCAGAGCCCGGACTTGAACCCTATCGAACATCTCTGGAGAGACCTGAAAATAGCTGTGCAGCGACGCTCCTCACCCAACCTGACAGAGCTTGAGAGTATCTGCAGAGAAGAATGGGAGAAACTTCGCAAATACAGTTCTGCCAAGCTTGTAGCGTCATACCCAAGAAGACTCAAGGCTGTAATCGCTGCCAAAGGTGCTTCAACAAAGTACTGAGTAAAGGGTCTGAATATTTCAGTAAATGTGATATTTCCGTATTTAATTTTTAATACATTTGCAAAAAAATCTAAAAAATCATTTTTGCCTTGTCATTACGGGGTATTGTGTGTAGATTGATGAGGGAAACATTTTTTAAATCCATTTTCGAATAACACTGTAATGTAACAAAATGTGGAAAAAGTGAAGGGGTCTGAATAGTTTCCGAACGCACGGTATATAACATTTGCAAACGAACTGTCAAAATGAAGACCAGGATTGACGTGTTTCACTAAAACTATAACTAATACATCCGTTTTTTTCATGAAAGTTACTCTTTAAACACTCACTTACAACCAGACATTGATTGATAGATAAATTGATTGATTGACTGATTGGAGACAGCTTGTGTCAATTTAATGAACATTTCCTAATATTTTCTACCTGCAGCAAACCTAGTGGATAAGGCTAGCAATACTAGTCAAAGAAAACCCCCACATAATACCTTTGAGCGCGTCTATCCATCTGCATCTGTAGTTAAAAGTATTTTTAATGCACATTTGTATAAGACACTGAGGATGTACACCTTGTTAGTTTGGTATGGTTCACTGAGGAGGTACACCTTGTTAGTTTGGTATGGTTCACTGAGGAGGTACACCTTGTTAGTTTGGTATGGTTCACTGAGGAGGTACACCTTGTTAGTTTGGTATGGTTCACTGAGGAGGTACACCTTGTTAGTTTGGTATGGTTCACTGAGGAGGTACACCTTGTTAGTTTGGTATTGTTCACCGAGGAGCTACACCTTTCACCATCACAATCAGCGAAGCTCAAAGTGCCCCTGACTGACATGCATACCTTCATATTATTCACCCAAACAGCTTAAGACCTGGGTTCAAATACTATTTGAAATAATTTCAAATACTTTATATGTGCTTGTTTGAGCTCGCATGGCTTAATTGACCAATAGAATAGTCACAAAACGGAAACCCCGCCCGTGTAGCACTCCAGGGAGGCGAGATAAAATGCTCAAAGTATTTGAAAAGGTTTCAAATAGTATTGGACCCAGTTCTGTACAGCTTAAAATATGCATACTTCTGACTCTTGTCTAGGCCTAGAAACCCACCAAACCACACAATAAGCATTCCTATCAAACTACAAATTCCCCAAAACTTTCTGCCTCTGTCAGTGCACTTCGGGACCATTAGTGAGACTTGGCTCAATATGACGCCCTGCCTCACCCCTCACCTCCCCTGTAAGGCTGCTATGTTAATGGAGGAATCCCAAATGGCACCCTTGTCTCTGGTCAAATGTAGTGCACAACACAGGGAATAGGGTGCCATTTGGGAGGCAACATACGGCTGTTAAAGGTGATTAATAAGAGAAGCAACTTGCTGGGAGAGAAATTAATTACACCTCTCGTTTTATGATGGTCCGGAATTTATCAATATGGGGGTAATGGGGGGCGGCGTTGTGCATGGAATAAATTGTCAGTGTTGACAGAGGGAGCATCGTGCTCTGGCTGAGCCTCAGGACACCCTGGGACACATGCTGCCAGCTGAGAGGCACTATTTATAGAGGCCAACTTAAACCCAGGCTTATTACTCCCACTGAACTGCTGCACACACACACACACACACACACACACACACACACACACATACACACACACATACACACACACACACACTATCACTAACAGCAGCGCAGAGCTTCAGTGGATGTGTGTGTGTGTATATACAGGTTTCCACAGGTGAGACTTCCTTAGCAGACTAGAGAATGCCGTTCTGAGGGAAGGTGGAGTATCTATTGTGAAAGAAGCATTCTGACTGTACGTTGTTGATACTCTCCTTAGTTCGCATGCTGAGTTGATGCATGTTCTAAACAGCTGTATCACAGCATGCGTGATCAGGCAAAGCCCCGTAGTCTTACTTTAGCCACCAGGGATATGCCCAGTCGTTCTGTGGCTGACTTGAACGCTGCTGTGTGCTGCTTCTTATACAGCTCCTCCGTCTTCTTTTCCACCTACACACACACACACACACACACACACACACACACACACACACACACACACACATGCACGCACACACACACACAGGAGATGAGAGTGTTTGCTGAGCTCTGTAATAATGCCATGGTTCTAGCTCACTCTGGGTCTTTCTAGCAGTGCTGAGAGCAAGCCCTACCTTGTACTGGCCAGGCCCAGGGACCTCTTCATTGTTGTGGAACACGAGACTGCGTTGGGCCGTCGAGCCAAAGCCTCCCTTTCTGGTGGACTCTAGGTAAGCTTTTTTTATGCTGTCCTGGGCCAGGCCATATTCAAACATATTATAGGCACCAGGACCTGATGTGGGAGCAGAGCAGAGCATTAACACAGGTGGGGGTGGGGACTGTGTTTATGTGTGTGTAAGAGGGGCAGTAAATTGATAAATGTGGGGGAATGACTGTTCGATACCCTGCGCCTACCTTGATACATTAAATCTCTCCCTGTACACACACTAACACTAAAATACATAAAAGCTCTACTTCACATGTATTGACGTTTCAGTCATCACTGAAACTACCTTTATCCACCTATCTATGCCGGGCATTTATGCACTTGGCAAACGGCAGTATTTCTAGATGATGTACAGTCATCATGTACCAGCCGTAAAACATCCGGCCGGCTGTTAAGTACATAAACACACACTGGGTCAGCGATGTGAGTAACGGGGTGTGTTTGAGAGGTGTGTGTTGTGGATGTATACACTGCCGTTCAAAAGTTTGGGGTCACTTAGAAATGTCCTTGTTTTCGAAAGAAAAGCAATTTTTTTGGTCCATTAAAATAACATCAAATTAATCAGAAATACAGTGTAGACATTGTTAATGTTGTAAATGGCTATTGTAGCTGGAAACGGCTGATTTTTAATGGAATATCTACATAGGCGTACAGAGGCCCATTTTAAGCAACCATCATTTTAAAAGGCTAATTGACCATTAGAGAACCCTTTTGCAATTATGTTAGCACAGCTGAAAACTGTTGTGCTGATTAAAGAAGCAATAAAACTGGCCTTCTTGAGACTAGTTGAGTATCTAGAGCATCAGCAATTGGGGGTTTGATTACAGGATCAAAATGGCCAGAAACAAAGAACTTTCTTCTGAAACTCGTCAGTCTTTTCTTGTTCTGAGAAATGAAGGCTATTCCATGCGAGAAACTGAAGATCTCGTACAACGCTGTGTGCTACTCCCTTCACAGAACAGCGCAAACTGGCTCTAACCAGAATAGAAAGAGAAGTGGGAGGCCCCAGTGCACAACTGAGCAAGAGGACAAATACATTAGAGTGTCTAGTTTGAGAAACAGACGCCTCACAGATCCTCAACTGGCAGCTTCATTAAATAGTACCCGCAAAACACCAGTCTCAACGTCAACAGTGAAGAGAAGACTCCGGGATGCTGACCTAGGCAGAGTTGCAAAGAAAAAGTCCAGTGTCTGTGTTCTTTTGCCCATCTTAATCTTTTATTTTTATTGACCAGTCTGAGATATGGCTTTTTCTTTGCAACTCTGCCTAGGTCAGCATCCCGGAGTCGCCTCTTCACTGTTGACGTTGAGACTGGTGTTTTGCGGGTACTATTTAATGAAGCTGCCAGTTGAGGATCTGTGAGGCGTCTGTTTCTCAAACTAGACACTCTAATGTATTTGTCCTCTTGCTCAGTTGTGCACTGGGGCCTCCCACTTCTCTTTCTATTCTGGTTAGAGCCAGTTTGCGCTGTTCTGTGAAGGGAGTAGCACACAGCGTTGTACGAGATCTTCAGTTTCTTGGCAATTTCTCGCGTGGAATACCCTTCATTTCTCAGAACAAGAAGAGACTGATTAGTTTCAGAAGAAAGTTATTTGTTTCTGGCCATTTTGAGCCTGTAATCGAACCCACAATTGCTGATGCTCCAGACACTCAACTAGTCTCAAGAAGGCCAGTTTTATTGCTTCTTTAATCAGCACAACAGTTTTCAGCTGTGCTAACATAATTGCAAAAGGGTTTTCTAATGATCAATTAGCCTTTTTAAAATGATCAACTTGGATTAGCAAACACAACGTGCCATTGGAACACAGGACTGATGCTTGCTGATAATGGGCCTCTGTATGCCTATGTAGATATTCCATAAAAAATCAGCCGTTTCCAGCTATAATAACCATTTACAACATTAACTATGACTACACTGTATTTCTGATCAATTTGATGTTATTTTAATGGACAAAAAAAATGCTTTTTCTGTCGAAAACAAGGACATTTCTAAGTGACCCCAAACTTTTGAACGGTAGTGTATATTATACACAAACACACACACAAACACACACACACCTGGAGTGGACTGTTTCCGGCTGTCAGGAAGGAACCGAACAGCAGTCAGGCCAAAGGGGTTTCTCAGCAGCCCGGTGGTCTTCTTGAGGATCTCCAGAGCGCAGCGCGGGTCATTGTACATGCCTACAGGAGGAGCCAGTTCCTTCACAGGACTGAACCGCTGAGAGGGAGGGACAGACAGACAGACAGACAGACAGAGAGACAGACAGACAGACAGACAGACAGACAGACAGACAGACAGACAGACAGACAGACAGACAGACAGACAGACAGACAGACAGACAGACAGACAGACAGACAGACAGACAGACAGACAGACAGACAGACAGACAGACAGACAGACAGACAGACAGACAGACAGACAGACAGACAGACAGACAGGGGACACCAAACAGTCATGTCATCCACTCACAATACTGCTAGCCTGGGTATCAGTATGTTTGTGCTATCATGTTTGGCATGAAAAGGAGTGGCATGATGGCACAAACATCCTGGTACCCAGGCTACAATGCCATCTGCATCATCTACTATCTACCGTAACTACACACCTGACAAGTCCACAGATCAGAATAGACAGACGAGGAAAAAAGACCAAGGGTCATGGTGAGTAAGTAACATTCTTATAGACATGAAGGTCCACTTGTTTAACAGACTTCATATCTCTCTCGCTCCTCAGCCTTGGAGGATGATTTGGCGTTGAAAAGTGCAGGTGTGTTGACTCTGAGAAGCCCAGTCTCCCCACTAACACAAGGACACTCCCCTGTCCTCTAGCGAACACTTCTACATGGCTAGGTTAGATCAGCATGGTTAGATCAGCATGGTTAGATCAGCATGGCTAGGTTAGCTCAGCATGGCTAGGTTAGATCAGCATGGTTAGATCAGCATGGCTAGGTTAGATCAGCATGGTTAGATCAGCATGGCTAGGTTAGATCAGCATGGTTAGATCAGCATGGTTAGATCAGCATGGCTAGGTTAGATCAGCATGGTTAGGTTAGATCAGCATGGTTAGATCAGCATGGCTAGGTTAGATCAGCATGGTTAGATCAGCATGGCTAGGTTAGATCAGCATGGCTAGGTTAGATCAGCATGGTTAGATCAGCATGGCTAGGTTAGATCAGCATGGCTAGGTTAGATCAGCATGGTTAGATCAGCATGGCTTAGATCAGCATGGTTAGATCAGCATGGTTAGATCAGCATGGCTAGGTTAGATCAGCATGGTTAGATCAGCATGGTTAGGTTAGATCAGCATGGTTAGGTTAGATCAGCATGGCTAGGTTAGATCAGCAGGGTTAGATCAGCATGGCTAGGTTAGATCAGCATGGCTAGGTTAGATCAGCATGGTTAGATCAGCATAGCTAGGTTAGATCAGCATGGCTAGGTTAGCTCAGCATGGCTAGGTTAGATCACCATGGCTAGGTTAGATCAGCATGGTTAGATCAGCATGGCTAGGTTAGATCAGCATGGCTAGGTTAGATCAGCATGGTTAGATCAGCATAGCTAGGTTAGATCAGCATGGCTAGGTTAGCTCAGCATGGCTAGGTTAGATCACCATGGCTAGGTTAGATCAGCATGGTTAGATCAGCATGGTTAGGTTAGATCAGCATGGCTAGGTTAGATCAGCATGGCTAGGTTAGATCAGCATGGTTAGATCAGCATAGCTAGGTTAGATCAGCATGGCTAGGTTAGCTCAGCATGGCTAGGTTAGATCACCATGGCTAGGTTAGATCAGCATGGCTAGGTTAGATCAGCATGGCTAGGTTAGATCAGCATAGCTAGGTTAGATCAGCATGGCTAGGTTAGATCAGCATGGCTAGGTTAGATCAGCATGGCTAGGTTAGATCAGCTGTAGGAGAGACCTACCTTTCCTTCCACACCAAACACTGCGGTCGGTTTGTACATTCCCATTTATGCAAGGTGGCAAACGAAAAGAGGGGATCGATTATAAAGAGAGCATGTGTACATAAAACGATAATAATATTTTATTGTCACATACACCAGATAGGTGTAGTGAAATGTGTTGTTTTACAGAGTAAGCCATGGTAGTAATGCTTATTATGAGCTCTTACAGAGGGAGGGAGGGGAGGGAGGGAGGGAGGGAGGGAGGGAGGGAGGGAGGGAGGGAGGAGGGAGGGAGAGTTCAGTCAGGATGCAAGCAAGGCTGAATATGCCAGATTGTATAAAGTGCTACATTAACTCATGTGGGGAAATTGAGGCTGTCTACAGCACACAGGGCTCCTGAGGTGAGAGGAGAGGAGAGGAGAGGAGAGGAGAGGAGAGGAGAGGAGGAAGAGGAGAGGAGAGGAGAGGAGAGGAGAGGAGAAGGAGAGGAGGGAGGGAGAGGAGAGGAGAGGAGATCGGAGAGGAGAGGAGGAAGAAGGAAAGAAGAGAAGAGAAGAGAAGTAGAAGAGAAGAGAAGAGAAGAGAAGAGAAGAGAAGAGAAGAGAAGAGAAGAGAAGAGAAGAGAAGAGAAGAGAAGAAAAGAGAAAAGAAGAGAAGAGAAGAGAAGAGAAGAGAGGAGAGGAGAGGAAGAGGAGAGAGAGAGAGAGAGGAGAGGAGAGGAGAGGAGAGGAGAGGAGAGGAGGAGAGGAGAGGAGAGGAGAGGAGAGGAGAGGAGAGGAGAGGGTGGGCTCCAGCTGCTCCTCTCATCCCCCCTCCTTCTTCTGGAGGAGAGTGTCAGATGGCGTGGACTGAGGCTGAGGCTGAGCGTCCTAGCTGAGAGACCTAGAGAGACGACTTCACAGGGCAGAGCGGCATGCTGACGCATTGTGGGGCAATAGAAACCAGCTCCTCTCCTCTCCTCTCCTCTCCTCTGCTCTCCTCTGCTCTCCTCTCCTCTCCTCTGCTCTGCTCTGCTCTGCTTTGTTCTCCTAACGCCCACTAACTCCTGCTAACTAACTCCCTGATAACTTCCGCTAACTCCCAGCTAACTAACTTGCACTAACTCCAGCTAACTCCCATTAATTCCCACTAACTAACTTGCACTCACTCCCACTTATTCCTACTAACTCACTTGCACTAACTTTCGTTAACTCACACTAACTCGCACTAACTCCCCCTTACACCCGCTCTGTAGAGGCCAGAAAGAAAACCGTCTGTCAGCTCCAACCTGTCTGTCACTCATCAGAAACTATAGAAGTGTTTTATATGCAGGTGGAGCTGATTTGTACCCCAGTGGAATGTGTATTGGAGAAATGTGTGTGTGTGTGTGTGTGTGTGTGTGTGTGTGTGTGTGTGTGTGTGTGTGTGTGTGTGTGTGTGTGTGTGTGTGTGTGTGTGTGTGTGTGTGTGTGTGTGTGTGTGTGGAGGCTGAGAGAGTGTTAATTAAGACATATGTCAGGAGTTTCTTTGAGTCTAGCTCTCCACATGAGTTCTGCTGCAATACAGTGAGTTGCTGTAGCAATCTGAGCTCTTCCCAATCCAACAAGGAATTCATCTGATGTCTAAGTTCAAAATGGCACCCTATTCCCTATATAGTACTACTTTACTACACTACCAGAGCCTGGTCAAAATAAGTATATACACTACCGGTCAAATGTTTTAGAACACCTACTCATTCAAGGGTTTTTCTTTATTTTTACTATTTTCTACATTTTAGAATAATAGTGAAGACATCAAAACTATGAAATAACACATATGGAATCATGTAGTAACCAAAACAGTGTTAAACAAATCAAAATATATTTTATATTTTAGATTCTTCAAATAGCCACCCTTTGCCTTGATGACAGCTTTGCACACTCTTGGCATTCTCTCAACCAGCTTCACCTGGAATGCTTTTCCAACAGTCTTGAAGGAGTTCCCACATATGCTGAGCACTTGTTGGCTGCTTTTCTTCACTCTGCTGTCCGACTCACCCCAAACCATCTCAATTGGGTTGAGGTCGGGGGATTGTGGATGCCAGGTCATCTGATGCAGCACTCCATCACTCTCCTTCTTGGTAAAATAGCCCTTACACAGCCTGGAGGTGTGTTGGGTCATTGTCCTGTTGAAAAACAAATGATAGTCCCACTAAGCCCAAACCAGATGGGATGGCGTATCGCTGCAGAATGCTGCGGTAGCCATGCTGGTTAAGTGTGCCTTGAATTCTAAATAAATCACAGACAGTGTCACCAGCAAAGCACCCCCACACCCTAACACCTCCTCCTCTATGCTTTTACGGTGGGAAATACACATGCGGAGATCATCTGTTTACCCACACCGCGTCTCACAAAGCCACAGCGGTTGGAACCAAAAATCTCCAATTTGGACTCCAGACCAAAGGACAAATTACCACCGGTCTAATGTCCATTTCTCGTGTTTTTTGGCCCAAGCAAGTCTCTTGTTATTATTGGTGTCCTTTAGTAGTGGTTTCTTTGCAGCAAATCGACCATGAAGGCCTGATTCACACAGTCTCCTCTGAACAGTTGATGTTGAGATGTGTCTGTTACTTGAACTCTATGAAGCATTTATTTGGGCTGCAATTTCTGAGGTTGGTAACTCTAATAAACGTATCCTCTGCAGCAGAGGTAACTTTGGGTCTTCCATTCCTGTGGCGGTCGTCATGAGAGACAGTTTCATCATAGCGCTTGATGGTTTTTGCGACTGAACTTTAAGAAACTTTCAAAGTTCTTGAAATGTGGATTTCTTGTTGTCTATTGCTAGCAAAGCATCCAGGACTTTCTGTAAATAGCCTAAAAGAAAAGCTTTGACTATAATTTCTCTGATCATTCAGCAAGTTCCCCCTATCAGCATCCAGCCCAACATAATTGTGAATAGGCTTAGAAGTTCTTCCAAAGAGATAGCCCGCTGAAATAAAATGGTGATTAAATGCATTAATAATGGATTTTTTTCCCATAATGAGGCCAGTGTCTGAATTTGTTGTGGCAGAGAGGAGGAAGTAGAACCCTTCAGGGATTTGACAGTTATCCAGAATTTTGGTTGGTTCCCATTACAATCCGAAAGAGCGGTTACATAATAATCAGATTTAGCCTTTCTGATTTGTCTTACACAATGAGTCCTCAGTTGCTTTACCTACCACGGTAAAGGAGGTGCAGCGATTTTTGGGTTTTGCCAACTACTACCGGAGATTTATCCGGGGCTTTGGCCAGGTAGCAGCTCCCATAACCTCTTTGCTAAAGGGCGGATCGGTGCGCCTGCAGTGGTCAGCTGAGGCGAACAGGGCTTTTGGTCAGCTGAAGGCGCTGTTCACCACGGCTCCCGTGCTGGCTCATCCGGATCCTTCCTTGCAATTCATAGTCGAGGTGGACGCGCCGAGGCGGGGATAGGAGATGTACTGTCTCAGCGCTCGGGTACGCCTCCCAAACTCCGCCCCTGTGCTTTCTTCTCGAAGAAGCTCAGCCCGGCGGAGAAAAACTATGACGTGGGGGATCGGGAGCTGTTAGCTGTTGTGAAAGCTCTTAAGGTGTGGAGACATTGGCTTGAGGGGGCTAAACACCCTTTTCTCATTTTGACTGACCACCGCAATCTGGAGTACATTCGGGCAGCGAGGAGACTGAATCCTCGTCAGGCAAGGTGGGCCATGTTTTTCACGCGTTTTGTGTTCACCCTATCATATAGACCAGGTTCCCAGAATGGTAAGGCAGACGCTCTGTCCCGGCTATATGCCTCAGAGGATCGGACCAGGGAGCCTACTCCCATACTTCCGGCTTCTTGTCTGGTGGCACCGGTGTTATGGGAGGTTGACGCGGACACCGAGCGGGCATTACGCACGGAGCCCACTCCCCCCCCAGTGTCCAGTGGGTCGTGCGTATGTTCCGTCCGAGGTTCGCGATCGTTTGATTTATTGGGCTTACACGTCACTCTCTTCTGGCCATCCTGGCATTGGTCGGACAGTGCGCTGTCTTAGTGGGAAGTACTGGTGGCCTACCTTAGCTCAGGACGTGAGGGTTTATGTTTCTTCCTGTTCGGTGTGTGCCCAGTGCAAGGCACCTATACACCTGCCCAGTGGTAAATTACAACCTCTCCCCGTTCCACAGCGGCCGTGGTCACACCTATCGGTGGACTTTGTTACGGATCTTCCTCCGTCACAGGGTAACACCACGATCCTGGTCGTTGTGGATCGGTTTTCTAAGTTCTGTCGTCTCATTCCTTTGCCCGGTCTCCCTACTGCCCTACAGACCGCAGAGGCCCTGTTTACACACGTCTTCCGGCACTACGGGGTGCCTGAGGATATAGTGTCTGATCGGGGTCCCCAGTTCACGTCAAGGGTCTGGAAGGCGTTTATGGACCATCTGGGGGTCTCGGTCAGCCTGACCTCAGGTTTTCACCCCGAGAGTAATGGGCAGGTGGAGAGAGTAAACCAGGATGTGGGTAGGTTTCTGAGGTCGTATTGCCAGGACCGGCAGGGGGATTGGTCAGTTTACATCCCCTGGGCAGAGATGGCACAAAATTCCCTCCGCCACTCCTCCACTGACCTGTCTCCTTTTCAGTGTGTACTAGGTTACCAGCCGGTCCTGGCACCGTGGCATCAGAGCCAGATCGAGGTTCCTGCGGTGGATGAATGGTTTCGGCGCTCGGAGGAAACATGGAACGCTGCCCATGTACGCCTGCAAAGGGCGATTAGGAGACAGAAGGCGAGTGCCGACCGCCACCGCAGTGAGGCTCCGGTTTATGCACCGGGGGACCGGGTCTGGCTCTCGACCCGAAACCTGCCCCTTCGCCTGCCCTGCCGGAAGCTGGGTCGGCGGTTTGTGGGGCCCTTTAAAGTCCTGAGGAGGTTGAACGAGGTTTATTATAGGTTACAGCTCCCCCCTGATTACCGTATTAACCCCTCGTTCCATGTGTCTCTCCTCAGGCCGGTGGTAGCTGGTCCGCTCCAGGAGTCCGAAGTGCGGGAGGTTCCTCCGCCCCCATTGGACATTGAGGGGGCACCGGCGTACTCGGTCCGTTCCATCATGGATTTGAGGCGTCGGGTTGGAGGCCTGCAGTATCTCGTGGAGTGGGAGGGGTACGGTCCGGAGGAACGGAGCTGGGTTCCCAGGAGGGACATCCTCGATCCCTCCTTGTTAAGGGAGTTCCATCGTCGTCATCCGACTCGCCCTGCTCCGCGTCCTCCTGGCCGTCCCCGAGGCCGGTGTCGACGCACGGCTGGAGCCGCGCGTCAAAGGGGGGGGGGGGGGGTACTGTCACGGATACGGCCGAGGCTGCCCCTCCTCCTCGCTCGGGCAGGCTTCGGCGGTCGTCGTCACCGGAGTAGTAGCTGCCACCGATCGATGTTTCTGTGTCTCACTAGTTCTGTCTTTATTTTTCACACCTGTTACTCATTAGGCTTATTAGTTTCCCTATATTACCTCTGTTTTCCCTCCTGGGGGTGTGCGTGATTGTTCTTTGTTACGTCGTCTGTTGAGCTGTTGTTTTGCTCTTCCCTGCGTGGAGGGTTTGCTATGGTTTACTTTGAGTCTAGTAAAGCCATTCATCTCTCAGTTCTGTGTCCTGCGCCTGATTCCGTTTCCCCACTTCACCCAGACGCTGACAATATTAATATCAGAGTCCAGAATGTCCCCAGAGATCCACATTTCAGTCAATACCTGAATGTCCAGATTCGTCTGCATAGCCAGGATCTTAATGTAATCCAGTTCAGGAAGTAAGCTCCTAATGTTCAGATGTATCAACACAAGTCCTTTTACACATTTTAAATTCACATGGAGTCTCCAAATCAAACCAGCTATGATCAATAGGCGGTTGCAGGCCCTTTCTGATGGTTGATACTGACATAGTTGGTATGGCTATAAGATTGCATAATAGAGGAGAGTATAGAAATTAAAATTACTTTTCCAAGGTTGGCATCCTGTTGTGTTTTAGGATGGCGGTGTTGTGTTTCAGGATGGTGTGTTATGTTTCAGGATGGTGTGTTGTGTTTCAGGATGGTGTTGTGTTTCAGGATGGTGTGTTGTGTTTTAGGATGGTCTGTTTTGTTTCAGGATGGATTGTTGTGTTTCAGGATGGTTTGTTGTGTTTCAAGATGGTCTGTTGTGTTTCAGGATGGTGTGTTGTGTTTCAGGATGGTGTGTTGTGTTTCAGGATGGTGTGTTGTGTTTCAGGATGGTGTGTTGTGTTTCAGGATGGTGTGTTGTGTTTCAGGATGGTGTGTTGTGTTTCATGTGTTTCAGGATGGTGTGTTGTGTTTCAGGATGATGTGTTGTGTTTCAGGATGGTGTGTTGTGTTTACTGTACCTGCGCCTGAGAGAGGAAAGGAGGGCTGAAGACAGGTAGATTGCCGTACGGGCTGCTCAGCTTCTCAAACTGACTCCTGATGTGGTACTGGCCTGGACCTGGCACTCCCTACAGACAGACAAAGACAGAGAGCGAGAGCGAGCGAGAGAGAACAAAGAGTTATTGGTTTATCCCGAGAGGGAGAGGGGAAGATAGAGCAGCTCGGTGGATTTGGATGCCATCTGAGCCCTTTCCAGCTGAGGACTGCAGAGGTGAGGACTGCAGAGGTGAGGACAGCAGAGGTGAGGACAGAAGAGGTTAGAACGGCAGTGTTGAGGACTGCAGAGGTGAGGACTGCAGAGGTGAGGACAGCAGAGGTGAGGACTGCAGAGGTGAGGACTGCAGAGGTGAGGACAGCAGACGTGAGGACTGCAGAGGTGAGAAAAGTAGATGAAGACTCAATTATGAAGATGAACAACCACAGCGGCCGGAGATGGAGACGGAGAGAGGGATGTTGGAAGAAGAGTAACCTGCCTCTGGTTAGACATTAGTAGAGATGCGTCCCAAATGCCATCATATTCCCATTGTACTATTTTTTACCAGGGCCTGGTCAAAAGTAGTGCACTATCTAGGAAATAAGGTGCCATTTGGGACGCATCCCTAGGTTGCAGTGAGGGGAGTGGAGTGAGCCATTAGACTGAAGTCCTCCTCCCCATACTGGCCCTTTCACCCTGCCCAGGAACCATGTCCCACATGTCCTCCACACTGCTACATGATTTAGCAACCATTAGAGTCCACAAGACTGATGTTAGATACACGGACACACCTACACACAAACAGGCACTCTGAGAAACCAAGCTGCACACAAAGTAAGCAAACATACACTCAAGAGGAAAATCTGTACACTAAGCAAGCACACACACATATAAACACAGCGCGCGCACACACGCACGCACGCACACACACACACACACACACACACACACACACACACACACACACACACACACACACACACACACACACACACACACACACACACACACACCTCTTTGGTGGGCAAACACATTCGAAGCAGTGAGGAATAATGATGTCTGGGAGAATGAATGTGGTCGCTGTGTGTGCAGCTTCTGTTTATAGACATCTGCTGCTAACTCTTTAGAGACCAACTAAAGACTGCCACTGTCTACATTTCACAGCAGAATACCTTCAGCCAGCACATCAAATCCTACATGCCAGGTATGTAGTGGTCAGTACTGTGTTGACCTTTGTGATGACAGTATACAGTGCAGGGTTGGGGTCCAATTCGAATCGAATTAAATAATAGAAAAATGACTTGATAAACTGAAAAGGAGAAGCTACTTATTTAAAAAGTTGTTCATTTTCAAAAAAAAAAAAAAATTCAAATCTGAATTCTGAATTGAGTGACTTCAATTGAATTGAGTAAGTCCTTGGGTGTCCATGGTGTGTGTCCGTAATAATGACCCATCTGCTAGGGGGGCATTGCCGTGCCAGTCCCTCTCTAATGATGATGGATGGAAGCCCAGACACCACTGGGGGATCCACAGCAGGGGACACACACCGTCAGGAGTGGGGCAGCCACACACACACACACACCCCTGTCGGACCATACTGCACCTCCCCTCACCACAAAACACGGTGGTCTGAACTATACAGTACAACAAGAGATGGAGTCAACTTGGACTGTTTGTTCTGTCTTGGATGTACTAATTCTATTGTCATCTCTGTGTTCTTTAACTGTAATATAATATAAACTCAGCAAAAAAAGTATTTCAAAGATAATTCGTAAACATCAAAATAACTTCACAGATCTTCATTGTAAAGGGTTTAAACACTGTTTCCCATGCTTGTTCAATGAACCATAAACAATTAATGAACATGCACCTGTGGAACAGTCGTTAAGACACTGAAAGCTTACAGACGGTAGGCAATTAAGGTCACAGTTATGAAAACTTAGGACACTAAAGAGGCCTTTCTACTGACTCTGAAAAACACCAAAAGAAAGATGCCCAGGGTCCCTGCTCATCTGCGTGAACGTGCCTTAGGCATGCTGCAAGGAGGCATGAGGACTGCAGATGTGGCCAGGGCAATAAATTGCAATGTCCGTACTGTGAGACGCCTAAGACAGCACTACAGGGAGACACGACGGACAGCTGATCGTCCTCGCAGTGGCAGACCACGTGTAACAACACCTGCACAGAATCGGTACATCCGAACATCACACCTGCGGGACAGGTACAGGATGGCAACAACAACTGCCCAAGTTACACCAGGAACGCACAATCCCTCCATCAGTGCTCAGACTGTCTGCAATAGGCTGAGAGAGGCTGGACTGAGGGCTTGTAGGCCTGTTGTAAGGCAGGTCCTCACCAGACATCACCGGCAACAACGTTGCCTATGGGCACAAACCCACCGTCGCTGGACCAGACATGACTGGCAAAAAGTGCTCTTCACTGACGAGTCGCGGTTTTGTCTCACCAGGGGTAATGGTCGGATTCGCGTTCATCTTTGATGGAATGAGCGTTACCCCGATGCCTGTACTCTGGAGCGGGATTATTTGGAGGTGGAGGGTCCGTCATGGTCTGGGGCGGTGTGTCACAGCATCATCGGACTGAGCTTGTTGTCATTGCAGGCAATCTCACCGCTGTGCGTTACAGGGAAGACATCCTCCTCCCTCATGTGGTACCCTTCCTGCAGGCTCATCCTGACATGACCCTCCAGCATGACAATGCCACCAGCCATACTGCTCGTTCTGTGTGTGATTTCCTGCAAGACAGGAATGTCAGTGTTCTGCCATGGCCAGCGAAGAGCCCGGATCTCAATCCCATTGAGCACGTCTGGGACCTGTTGGATCGGCGGGTGAGGGCTAGGGCCATTCCCCCCAGAAATGTCCAGGAACTTGCAGGTGCCTTGGTGGAAGAGTGGGGTAACATCTCACAGCAAGAACTGGCAAATCTGGTGCAGTCCATGAGGAGGAGATGCACTGCAGTACTTAATGCAGCTGGTGGCCACACCAGATACTGACTGTTACTTTTGACCCCCCCTTTGTTCAGGGACACATTATTCAATGTATGTTAGCAACATGTCTGTGGAACTTGTTCAGTTTATTTCTCAGTTGTTGAATCTTGTCATGTTCATACAAATATTTACACATGTTAAGTTTGCTGAAAATATTATATACATATTATATACAGTACCAGTCAAAAGTTTGGACACACCTACTCATTCCAGGGTTTTCCTTTATTTTTACTATTTTCTACATTGTAGAATAATAGTGAAGACATCAAAACTATGAAATAACACATGGAATCATGTAGTAACTAAAAAACTGTTAAACAAATCAAAATATATTTTATATTTGAGATTCTTCAAAGTAGCCACCCTTTGCCTTGATGACAGCTTTGCACACTCTTGGCATTCTCTCAACCATCTTCATGAGGTAGTCACCGGGAATGCATTTCAATTAACAGGTGTGTCTTGTTAAAAGTTAATTTGTGGAATTTCTTTCCTTCTTAATGCGTTTGAGCCAATCAGTTGTGTTGTGACAAGGTAGGGTTGGTATACAGAAGATAGCCCTATTTGGTAAAAGACCAAGTTTATATTATGGCAAGAACAGCTCAAATAAGCAAAGAGAAACAGCAGTCCATCATTACTTTAAGACATGAAGGTCAGTCAATACGGAAAGTTTCAAGAACTTTGAAAGTTTCTTCAAGTGCAGTCGCACTATGATGAAACTCTCATGAGGACCGCCACAGGAATGGAAGACCCAGAGTTACCTCTGCTGCAGAGCATAAGTTCATTAGAGTTACCAGCCTCAGAAATTGCAGCCCAAATAAATGCTTCATAGAGTTCAAGTAACAGACACATCTCAACATCTGTTCAAGGAGCCTGTGTGAATCAGGCCTTCATGGTCGAATTGCTGCAAAGAAACCACTACTAAAGGACAACAATAAGAAGAAGAGACTTGCTTGGGCCAAGAAACATGAGCAATGGACATTAGACCGGTGGAAATCTGTCCTTTGGTCTGATGAGTCCAAATTTGGAGATTTTTGGTTCCAACCGCCGTGGCTTTGTGAGACGCGGTGTGGGTGAACAGATGATCTCTGCATGTGTATTTCCCACCGTAAAGCATGGAGGAGGAGGTGTTATGGTGTGGGGGTGCTTTGCTGGTGACACTGTCTGTGATTTATTTAGAACTCAAGGCACACTTAACCAGCATGGCTACCACAGCATTCTGCAGCGATACGCCATGCCATCTGGTTTGGGCTTAGTGGGACTATCATTTGTTTTTCAACAGGACAATGACCCAACACACCTCCAGGCTGTGTAAGGGCTATTTTACCAAGAAGGAGGGTGATGGATTGCTGCATCAGATGACCTGGCCTCCACAATCCCCCGACCTCAATCCCAATTGAGATGGTTTGGGATGAGTTGGACCGCAGAGTGAAGGAAAAGCAGCCAACAAGTGCTCAGCATATGTGGGAACTCCTTCAAGACTGTTGGCAAAGCATTCCAGGTGAAGCTGGTTGAGAGAATGCCAAACTTGTGCAAAGCTGTCATCAAGGCAAAGGGTGGCTACTTTGAAGAATCTAAAATATCAAATATATGTTGATGTGTTTAACAATTTTTTTTATTATTTTTTATTTAACCTTTATTTAACCAGGTAAACCAGTTGAGAACAAGTTCTCATTTACAACTGCGACCTGGCCAAGATAAAGCAAAGCAGTGCGATAAAAAACAACAACACAGAGTTACATATGGGGTAAACAAAACATAAAGTTAAAAATACAACAGAAAATATATATACAGTGTGCAAATGTAGCAAGTTATGGAGGTAAGGCAATAAATAGGCCATAGTGCAAAGTAATTACAATTTAGTATTAACACTAGAATGATAGATGTGCAAGAGATGAATGTGCAAATAGAGATACTGGGGTGCAAATGAGCAAAATAAATAACAATATGGGGATGAGGTAGTTGGGTGGGCTAATTACAGATGTGCTGTGTACAGGTGCAGTGATCAGTAAGGTGCTCTGACAACTGATGCTTAAAGTTAGTGAGGGAGATAAGAGTCTCCAGCTTCAGAGATTTTTGCAGTTCGTTCCAGTCATTGGCAGCAGAGAACTGGAAGGAATGGCGGCCAAAGGAGGTGTTGGCTTTGGGGATGACCAGTGAGATATACCTGCTGAAGCGCATACTACGGGTGGGTGTTGCTATGGTGACCAATGAGCTAAGATAAGGCGGGGATTTGCCTAGCAGAGATTTATAGATGACCTGGAGCCAGTGGGTTTGGCGACGAATATGTAGTGAGGACCAGCCAACAAGAGCGTACAGGTCACAGTGGTGGGTAGTATATGGGGCTTTGGTGACAAAACAGATGGCACTGTGATAGACTACATCCAATTTGCTGAGTAGAGTGTTGGAGGCTATTTTGTAAATGACATCGCCGAAGTCAAGGATCAGTAGGATAGTCAGTTTAACGAGGGCATGTTTGGCAGCATGAGTGAAGGAGGCTTTGTTACAAAATAGGAAGCCGATTCTAGATTTAACTTTGGATTGGAAATGCTTAATGTGAGTCTGAAAGGATAGTTTACAGTCTAACCAGACATATGTGTTATTTCATAGTGTTGATGTCTTCACTACTATTCTACAATGAAGAAAATAGTAAAAATAAAGAAAAACCCTTGAATGAGTAGGTGTGTCCAAACTTTTTGACTGGTACTGTATAATGTGTTAAGTTGTAATAAACGTGTAAAGATTTAATAAATAGTTGAAGGTATCATTTTGATAGCCTTCCTCCTGGAAGTAAAGGGAGGTAAAAAGGTCAAACACACTCCTTTAATCAGTATGTTACATGTAATTCAATCCAACCAATTAGAACACTGCGGTACTAAATGAAGAAATCAAGCATCATTATCAAGCTACCAACATATATACCACATCTGTGCATTCAAGTTAATTTGCAGGTCAGGGAGTAGGGTGAAGTTGCCCCTAGATGCTGATCTTGGATCAGTTTTTCCCCACTAATACTTAATGTTAGGATAAGGGGAGGGGAAGCTGTTCCTAGACCTGTAACATAAGAGAAGCTTCACCCCAGAACACTGATCACGTTGTTTTATCAGGTAGTGCACAAGCTCCGTCCAAATGTGAAGCTTGAATGCCCTCTAGTGGTACATGATATAACTGGGACAGGAAGCCGAAAGTGGAACGCCACAGTGTCACGCATGCAATAAGCATTTCATGGGAACGACATAGGGAAAGGAAAGAAGAGGAAATGAAAGGAGAGGAGAGGAGAGGAGAGGAGGGGAGAGGAGAGGAGAGGAGAGGAGAGGAGAGGAGAGGAGAGGAGAGGAGAGGAGAGGCATAGCAAGGATGGAGACATTACAGAAAAAAAAGTGCAACGCATAGCCCTGGGGAGTGCTGTTGTTGGAGACCAGGCCCTGAGGAGTGCTGTTGTTGGAGACCAGGCCCTGAGGAGTGCTGTTGTTGGAGACCAGGCCCTGAGGAGTGCTGTTGTTAGAGACCAGGCCCTGAGGAGTGCTGTTGTTGGAGACCAGGCCCTGAGGAGTGCTGTTGTTGGAGACCAGGCCCTGAGGAGTGCTGTTGTTAGAGACCAGGCCCTGAGGAGTGCTGTTGTTGGAGACCAGGCCCTGAGGAGTGCTGTTGTTAGAGACCAGGCCCTGAGGAGTGCTGTTGTTAGAGACCAGGCCCTGAGGAGTGCTGTTGTTGGAGACCAGGCCCTGAGGAGTGCTGTTGTTAGAGACCAGGCCCTGAGGAGTGCTGTTGTTGGAGACCAGGCCCTGAGGAGTGCTGTTGTTGGAGACCAGGCCCTGAGGAGTGCTGTTGTTGGAGACCAGGCCCTGAGGAGTGCTGTTGTTAGAGACCAGGCCCTGAGGAGTGCTGTTGTTGGAGACCAGGCCCTGAGGAGTGCTGTTGTTAGAGACCAGGCCCTGAGGAGTGCTGTTGTTAGAGACCAGGCCCTGAGGAGTGCTGTTGTTGGAGACCAGGCCCTGAGGAGTGCTGTTGTTGGAGACCCCCCCCCCCCCCCCAGCCCCAAAAGGCCCTTTAAGAATGGAAGGAAGCTGGTGTCACCACTAGTGTTGTCCCCCGTTAGTCGACACACACACTCCCTGTCATTCTCAATTAAGTGCTACATGCTTAGCTTTGCTCCTCCAGTCTAGTCTAGGTGTGAACCATACGCCAAGACTCACGCTAGCTAGCTCGGCCTGCTTTAGCTTTATGGAACCTATAGCATTTCAAGTAGCACTATGAAAGACGGACGAGAGAGACTAGAAGTGTCACTGTACTGATGATGATTGGGGTTGTTACGGTATGACGACACGGTGTCACTGGTACGGACACATCCCTAAGGAGTTACCTTCTTTTCCTCCTGCAAGGTGACAATCTCATGGTAGCGCGGGATGACCAGCTCAGCCCGACTCTTCTGCTCCTTCCTCATATTGACGTTCTCGTACTCTGCCATGGAATACCTGCAGGGGGGCATGGGTTAGGGGGAGGAAATGGGATGTGAATCTGTCAGCAGCTCTTAAGCTTTTAGGAGACAGTGAGGATTTATTTCCCCTGTCAATCATCTCCAAATGACCCTGTCAAAATCAAATCAAATGTTATTTGTCACATGCTTTCGTAAACAACAGCTGTAGACTAACAGTGAAATGCTTACTTACGGGCCCTTTCCAACCCTGTTAATCACATATATCTGGGAATGGGAGAGGATGGGAGAGGATTGGGACAGGATGGGAGAGGATGGGGAGGACAGATTTACACGTCCAAGCCAAGCTCAATTGAGGAGAGTGGGGGATGTGATAGCTGGGGGAACGCAGGTGTCCTCCCTACTATAGAGCTGTTGATGTCGGGAGGATGCCCACAATATCCAAAAGTGCTTAGTAAGACTCATCCTCACTCACCATCAATACTGTCAGGAAGTGCATTGTAAACAATGTTAAAGACTTTAATTTTACTTTGGAGGCAAAAAAATGACTCATTTGGTCTGAGTGAATTTCGATAAAGAGGAAAACGAATGCACATTTCAGGTAATAGATGTGTGACTGACGTGGTCCTATGGATCAGAGTCACTGGAATGGAGTATCCTAGGCTAGGGGTGTGTGTTTAGTAGTGTATTGGGTATATGTTGTGAAATTGTTAGATATTACTTGTTAGATATTACTGCACTGTCGGAGCTAGAAGCACAAGCATTTCGCTACACCCACAATAACATCTGCTAAACACGTGTACGTGACCAATAACATTTGATTTGACTTGATTTGAAGTGTTCGATGTGAGGAGAGGCAGACAGCACTCACTCTTCAGGCTCATATTGGCCCTGGTCCAGGGCCCTCCACCACCTTCACCTCGCCTCGCTTCCCTGTCATCTTCCCAAAATGGACGCCTTTGTACTTCAGAGAGAAGCTGGTTTCCGCCTGTGGAAAAAAAAGTATCCAGGGGAAAAATCAGTGACGATGGAGCAAGGGGGTTGTTTCGATTTTATACTCTTTTTTTGCTTCGCTTTCTTTAGGATGGGATGATGAAATTCCACCAAATGTCAGTATATTTCAGAACAGTTGAGATTCAGCGACCAGTAATCTCTTTCCTTTACAACCTCCCTCACTTCTACTCTGGCATTTGAGATATGGCACAGGGGCCATTAACATACAGGAATGACAATAAAGACAGTTCTGGAAATGAGCAGCCCTTTTCTAAGTAACCATGGGTTCAGCATGACATGGCAGGTTTGAATTCAATCAGTGACACACAAACAGTAACTGAACATGTCAGTCAACAACACAAGCTGCATCCAATTTGCGAACACTACAAACTTATCTTTAACAAAAATACCATCTAACAAAATGCTACCAAAATACTAACTCTAAAAGCAAACCAAAGCAACTCAGGGTATAAAGAACTTAGTCAGCTTTGAAATTAATTGTACACTGTAATGCATATTCAAGTTAGGAAAAAAAGGTTTATTCATCAGCCACCCAATAGATCAGCGGTGCCCAAACAAGTCTTATCAGCATAGTGTTCTCTGTTTTGAAAGAATGCCATTAGACAGCTACTTAACTCCATGACCTGATAAACTTGGTGGTTAAAAATGCATGTCAGTCAGGAGATTTAAAGCCTTTAAAGACAAGGAGTGAGAGGGAGAGGAAGAAAGGAATGAATTGATGCACTCTTGATAACCCTAAATCACTAATCTCTTTCTGTCAGTCTGGAGTGTTGATATGACCTACCTCACTAATCTCTTTCTGCTAGTCTGGAGTGTTGATATAACCTACCTCACTAATCTCTTTCTGTCAGTCTGGAGTGTTGATATAACCTACCTCACTAATCTCTTTCTGTCAGTCTGGAGTGTTGATATGACCTACCTCACTAATCTCTTTCTGTCAGTCTGGAGTGTTGATATAACCTACCTCACTAATCTCTTTCTGTCAGTCTGGAGTGTTGATATGACCTACCTCACTAATCTTTTCTGTCAGTCTGGAGTGTTGATATAACCTACCTCACTAATCTCTTTCTGTCAGTCTGGAGTGTTGATATACCTACCTCACTAATCTCTTTCTGTGCCAGTGTCTGGAGTGTTGATATAACCTACCTCACTAATCTCTTTCTGTCAGTCTGGAGTGTTGATATAACCTACCTCACTAATCTCTTTCTGTCAGTCTGGAGTGTTGATATAACCTACCTCACTAATCTCTTTCTGTCAGTCTGGAGTGTTGATATAACCTACCTCACTAATCTCTTTCTGTCAGTCTGGAGTGTTGATATAACCTACCTCACTAATCTCTTTCTGTCAGTCTGGAGTGTTGATATAACCTACCTCACTAATCTCTTTCTGTCAGTCTGGAGTGTTGATATAACCTACCTCACTAATCTCTTTCTGTCAGTCTGGAGTGTTGATATAACCTACCTCACTAATCTCTTTCTGTCAGTCTGGAGTGTTGATATAACCTACCTCAAGGACGTTGTTGACTTGGTTAGTCATTAGCAAATGAAATATAGTTTAATTGAAGGCCAGACCAGTGGGCGGTGCATTATTTTAAGTGAATATTGTAATATAACTTGAAGAATAATTACTAATGGTCCTCTTTGTTGACACCAGAATAAATGAACAAGGTGCTTTGTAGAGCTCCGATCATTAGCTATGGAAATAGATTTCGGGACAAATTAAGAGGCCCACTGTTGCATTAGATCGGCTGCTGCTAATGGAACTCTCTCACACAGGGTAAGGGCAAACACACGCACACACACACACTTACTCACTCACTAATGAATTTACTCTCACCACTCTCACTGTCATAACTTACTGAGTGAGTTGTGTGTGTGTGTGTGTGTGTGTGCGCGTGCGTGCGTGTGTGTATTTGTGTGTGCCCGCTCCTCTCTTACCACCACTGGGTTGTAGAAAGCAGGTCCTAATGTTTCATCCTTTGCTGGTGCCTTTTGCTTGCAAAGAAATCCCTGTCCATTGTCTTCATAGCCAAAGGCCTGCCCAGGCGACGGGATGGAAGGAATGTCTGGCTGTGGCAGGAACTTGAGGCGATTAGGAACACCCTGAAGCCACTAGTGGAATAGACAACATAGGAAACACATTAACATGCCCAGCCAATCCCTGAATCGGAAACCTGAAATACACTACTTCCATTTATCTGCTTGCCCTGCCCTCATATTTAGCCTTACATTGAAGTGTTGTACCATTGTCTTTTCAGGACAACCAGCGCTACAAGTAGAATACAAAAACAACTTAACATAAACAGTTGCATTCATGTGTTTTATTGACAAAAGCAAAAACCTGATCAAAATGTATTTATATGACTGCTGTAAGTACATAAATGGTTTGCTCAGTGGGAAAGGAATATCTGCTCTCACAAACACCAGCCCCAATCAAACGCACAGGCTAATGGTCGGCATCAGCGGATGCAGAAGAAATAGACAAATCCAGAAGTATGTAGCTCAAGCACACAACGTTTAAGAGGGGGTGGAAGCACAAAACAATCTCAGATGATAGCGTGGGACTCCAATTATTACATGGCTTTTTTACTATGTCTTCTGCATCAATCGTCTTAAAACATGTGCAGTGACAAGGTGGGATGGTTCCCCACTCACCTTTGCGGTCTGTCACAGAGTGTGCTGTGATGGGATAGCTTAGGCTAGAACGTGTGTATTCATTAGGACACACTGTAGCAAAACGTTTAGCAGTGGAAAACGTTTTGAAATGAAAACGAGAGTTTCTTATTGCACAAATTCAGGTAGGTACCTCCCCGTTTCGGCGTGTTTGCTTCCGTTTTGTTCCTAGTGAATACACCTCAAGGACACATACCACTTTAGTGCGTCTCTTCCCCAGAGGCTCACTCTCAGCTCCCCTCAGAGTGTTTCCTGCCGCCTGCCGGACGTTGTACGCTCCAGGGCCCGGGACTTCTGACACCACCTCATCAAACCGCTTTGATCGATTCTTTAGACTTTGTCCTCCCAGAATGTTATCCTACAAGGTTCAGATCAACGTCACCTTGGTTTATGATTATTAGCTAAGCTTGGGAATCAAATTGAACCCAATGCATTGATTCTTCAGACCCATTTGACAAGACTGCTAGAAAGTGAATTAATTTCACACTTGGGTGAATGGATGCATCCATGACTTACCTTACCATGTGAGCTGTTGTATTGTCCCGGTCCAGGCAAGGCTTTGTCATCGCTGGACCTGTGGAACATTGAGGGCCGGTTGGAGAGTGAGAGGAACGGAGCATAGCCATCTGCAAAACAGTGATAAATGTCAATGGATATAGGCCTATACACATATTTTGAACATATTTTATACACTGTCACAACTTGTAACAGTATGTATAACGTTTTCAATTGCTTTCAAAAACAGCATACTTTATGAATCAGAGCTCAACATGATGAAATATTGGATTAATCACAAATTGTACATGCATGCAACAAAGGCTACCTTTTGGGTCAATATGGCTACTTCAAACACAAAACTTAGCAGCTGAGCCGATAAGTCTACATACAGTGAGCTCCATAATTCATTGGACAGTGACCATTGTTTTGTTATTTTGGTTCTGTACTCTAGCACTTTGAGTTTGAAAGGATACAATGACAATGAGGGTGAAGTGCAGACTGTCAGCTTTAATTTGAGGGTATTTTCATACATATCGGATGAACCGTTTAGAAATGACAGCACCTTTTGTACATGGTCCCCCCATTTTAAGGTACTACAAGTATTTGTTAAATTGGCTTCACAGATGTGTGTCGTTAGGCAGGTGTATTCATTTGTGTCGTTAGTGAATGCAGGAGAGCTGTTGATGAATAGTAATGATTCTAGACGTTGCTATTGCCTTTGGAGGTTGTTATTGGGGTGTGACAACACGAGGAAGACAGCAGTGTCGATGCAAATGAAGTTGGCCGTCATAAGGCTCAGAAATGAAAATCAATCATTCAGGAACATTGCAAAAACCCTGGCCATGCCCAAGTCAACAGTTTTGTTCATCATTAACAAGAAAAAAACAACCGGTGAACTCAATTATGTCAAAAGACACGGTAGACAGAGGAAGACCACTGTAGTGGATGACCGGAGAATACTCTCTATGGTGAAGAAAAAAACCCCTGATAACAGCCCAACAGATCAAAAACACTCTCCTGGATGCAGGTGTAGATGTGTCAAAGTCTACCATACGCAGAAGACTACACCAGCAGGACTACAGAGGGTACACTACAAGATGCAAACCACTGATAAGCCTGAAGAACAGAAAGGCAAGATTACAGTTTGCTAAAAAGCACCTAAAAGAACCCCAAGAGTTCTGGAAAAAAAATTTGTGGACAGATGAGACAAAGATTAACATGTACCAGAGTGATGGAAAGACAAAAGTGTGGAGAAAAAAAAAGAAATGCCCATGATCCAAAGCATACCACCTCATCCATGAAACATGGTGGAGGGGGTGTTATGGCTTGGGCCTGTATGGCTACCAGTGGAACAGGCTCACTTGTCTTCATCGATGATGTGACTGCAGACAGAAGTAGAACAATGAATTCTGAAGTCTACAGAAATATTTTATCTGCTCAGATAAAACCAAATGCCTCCAAACTCATTGGACGGCACTTAATCACGCAACAAGACAATGACCCTAAACATACTGCTAGAGCAACAAAGGGGTTTTTGATGGCCAAAAAGTGGAAAAACCTTGACTGGCCGAGTCAATCACCAGATCTGAATCCAATTGAACATGCATTTTACATGCTGAAGAGGAGACTTAAGGCAATAAGTCCCCGAAACAAGCAGGAACTGAAGATGGCTGTAGTACAGGCCTGGCAGAGCATCACCAGGGAAGATACCCAGCGTCTGGTGATGGCGATGCATCGCAGACTTCAAGCAGTCATTGCATGCAAAGGATATGCGACCAAATATTAACAATGATTACTTTATTCTACATTATGTTAAACTGTCCAATGATTTTTGATTTCCCGAAAATGGGGGGGACCATGTACAAAAGCTTCTATAATTCGTAAACGGTTCATCCGATATGTATGAAAATACCCTCAAATTAAAGCTGACAGTCTGCACTTCACCCTCATTGTCATTGTATCCTTTCAAACTCAAAGTGCTAGAGTACAGAACCAAAATAACAAAAGAATGGTCACTGTCCAGTGAATTATGGAGCTCACTGTACATACAGTATTTTAGCCATAGGCCTGCCCTACATGGTTTTCAGATAAGCAACAGTCATAATAACTAATTTTAAAAACTGACAAATTATAACAATTTGAGAGCTTGTTCCTAAAATGCTGTTAAAACTTCCTTTTGAAAACATCAACAACCCTACCTGATTTTTTTGTTTTGTATTCAATGACCTCGTATGATCCTGGCCCAATTTTGGACGTGGTGCTGCCAACAGTGAGGTAGGTAACTCTTGGAGCGCGCCCATACATTTTCACCAGCAATGACGCGGCCAACTCGGTGAATGACGCTGGGACAAAACAACTCGGTGAATGTCAACTAAAATCCTCGTAGACCTAGTTTGTCGTTTCCCTCAGTAATTTGGAGTTAGTAAAAAATCCTAATAGAGCAATAGATATTCTTTCTTTTCGGAGCTACAATGTTATTGTGCGTCGTTGCTTAGACACTTGCTACGCAATTTTGGAGTCACATTACACCCATTGAATAATAGAAGGATTATGGAACTAGAACTTTACAATGATTCTAAAGGCTGTTAATTATCGCACCGTTGTTAAGGAACATAAAATGCAAAAAAGCAAAACATGAACTTCTGTAATAGATCCGTTATTACGATGATAATTGTTTGACAGCTCATTTGAAGCTGAAGGCAATATCAGACGGAAGGACCCCTTTATTTAGAACAATGTTGCCATCTAGCGGTTTAACACGTGTCATGCAGTTGCATCTGATGACTGAGCACTGTGATGCTCCCATTTACATTTACATTTACGTCATTTAGCAGACGCTCTTATTTAATATCCAGAGCGACTTACAAATAGGTGCATTCACCTTATAGCCAGTGGGATAACCCCTTTACAATGTTAATTTTTTATTTATTTATTTATTTTATTTTATTTTATTTTGGGGGGGGGGGGGTTGGAATAAAGGGGGGGTAGAAGGGGGGGGGTAGAAGGATTACTTTATCCTATCCCAGGTATTCCTTAAAGAGGTGGGGTTTCAAATGTCTCGGGAAGGTGGTGAGTGACTCCGCTGTCCTGGCGTCGTGAGGGAGCTTGTTCCACCATTGGGGTGCCAGAGCAGCGAACTGTTTTGACTGGGCTGAGCGGGAACTATGCTTCCGCAGAGGTAGGGGAGCCAGCAGGCCAGAGGTGGATGAACGCAGTGCCCTCGTTTGGGTGTAGGGACTGATCAGAGCCTGAAGGTACGGAGGTGCCATTCCCCTCACAGCTCCGTAGGCAAGCACCATGGTCTTGTAGCAGATGCGAGCTTCAACTGGAAGCCAGTGGAGTGTGCGGAGGAGCGGGGTGACGTGAGAGAACTTGGGAAGGTTGAACACCAGACGGGCTGCGGCATTCTGGATGAGTTGTAGGGGTTTAATGGCACAGGCAGGGAGCCCGGCCAACAGCGAGTTGCAGTAGTCCAAACGGGAGATGACAAGTGCCTGGATTAGGACCTGTGCCGCTTCCTGTGTAAGGCAGGGTCGTACTCTCCGAATGTTGTAGAGCATGAACCTACAGGATCAGGTCACCGCCTTGATGTTAGCGGAGAACGACAGGGTGTTGTCCAGGGTCACGCCAAGGCTCTTCGCACTCTGGGAGGAGGACACAACGGAGTTGTCAACCGTGATGGCGAGATCATGGAACGGGCAGTCCTTCCCCGGGAGGAAGAGCAGCTCCGTCTTGCCGAGGTTCAGCTTGAGGTGGTGATCCGTCATCCATACTGATATGTCTGCCAGACATGCAGAGATGCGATTCGCCACCTGGTTATCAGAAGGGGGAAAGGAGAAGATTAGTTGTGTGTCGTCAGCGTAGCAATGATAGGAGAGGCCATGTGAGGATATGACAGAGCCAAGTGACTTGGTGTATAGCGAGAATAGGAGAGGGCCTAGAACTGAGCCCTGGGGGACACCAGTGGTGAGAGCACGTGGTGCGGAGACAGCTTCTCGCCACGCCACTTGGTAGGAGCGACCGGTCAGGTAGGACGCAATCCAAGAGTGAGCCGCGCCGGAGATGCCCAGCTCGGAGAGGGTGGAGAGGAGGATCTGATGGTTCACAGTATCAAAGGCAGCAGACAGGTCTAGAAGGACAAGAGCAGAGGAGAGAGAGTTAGCTTTAGCAGTGCGGAGAGCCTCTGTGACACAGAGAAGAGCAGTCTCAGTTGAATGACCAGTCTTGAAACCTGACTGGTTTGGATCAAGAAGGTCATTCTGAGAGAGATAGCAAGAGAGTTGGCGAAAGACGGCACGCTCAATAGTTTTGGAGAGAAAAGAAAGAAGGGACACTGGTCTGTAGTTGTTGACATCGGAGGGATCGAGTGTTGGTTTTTTGAGAAGGGGTGCAACTCTCGCTCTCTTGAAGACGGAAGGGACATAGCCAGCGGTCAAGGATGAGTTGATCAGCGAGGTGAGGTAAGGGAGAAGGTCACCGGAGATGGTCTGGAGAAGAGAGGAGGGGATAGGGTCAAGCGGGCATGTTTTTGGGCGGCCTGCCGTCACAAGTCGCAAGATTTTATCTGGAGAGAGAGGGGAGAAAGAAGTCAAAGCATAGGGTAGGGCAGTGTGAGCAGGACCAGCAGTGTCATTTGACTTAACAAACAAGGATCGGATGTCGTCAACCTTCTTTTCAAAATGGTTGACGAAGTCATCCACAGAGAGGGAGGAGGGGGGGGGGGGGGGGGGGGGGGGGATTCAGCAGGGAGGAGAATGTGGCAAAGAGCTTCCTAGGGTTAGAGGCGGATGCTTGGAATTTAGAGTGGTAGAAAGTGGCCTTAGCAGCAGAAACAGATGAAGAAAATGTAGAGAGGAGGGAGTGAAAAGATGCCAGGTCTGCAGGGAGTCTAGTTTTCTTCCATTTCCGCTCAGCTGCCCGGAGCTCTGTTCTGTGAGCTCGCAATGAGTCATCAAGCCACGGAGCTGGAGGGGAGGACCGAGCCGGCCGGGAGGATAGGGGACATAGAGAGTCAAAGGATGCAGAAAGGGAGGAGAGGAGGGTTGAGGAGGCAGAATCAGGAGATTGGAGGGAGAAGGATTGAGCAGAGGGAAGAGATGATAGGATGGAAGAGGAGAGAGTAGCGGGAGAGAGAGAGCGAAGGTTGCGACGGCGCATTACCATCTGTGTAGGGGCAGAGTGAGTAGTGTTGGAGGAGAGGGAGAGAGAAAGGATACAAAGTAGTGGTCGGAGACTTGGAGGGGAGTTGCAGTGAGATTAGTAGAAGAACAGCATCTAGTAAAGATGAGGTCAAGCGTATTGCCTGCCTTGTGAGTAGGGGGGGACGGTGAGAGGGTGAGGTCAAAAGAGGAGAGGAGTGGAAAGAAGGAGGCAGAGAGAAATGAGTCAAATGTAGACGTAGGGAGGTTGAAATCCCCCAGAACTGTGAGGGGTGAGCCATCCTCAGGAAAGGAACTTATCAAGGCGTCAAGCTCATTGATGAACTCTCCAAGGGAACCTGGAGGGCGATAGATGACAAGGATATTAAGCTTAAATGGGCTAGTGACTGTGACAGCATGGAATTCAAATGAGGAGATAGACAGATGGGTCAGGGGAAAAATTGAGAATGTCCACTTGGGAGAGATGAGGATTCCTGTGCCACCACCCCGCTGACCAGATGCTCTTGGGGTATGCGAGAACACATGGTCAGACGAGGAGAGAGCAGCAGGAGTAGCAGTGTTTTCAGTGGTAATCCATGTTTCCGTCAGCGCCAAGAAGTCGAGGGACTGGAGGGTAGCATAGGCTGGGATGAAGTCTGCCTTGTTGGCAGCAGAACGGCAGTTCCAGAGGCTGCCTGAGACCTGGAACTCCACGTGGGTCGTGCGTGCAGGGACCACCAGGTTAGAGAGGCAGCAGCCACGCGGTGTGAGGCGTTTGTGTAGCCTGTGCGGAGAGGAGAGAACAGGGATAGGCAGAGGCATAGTTGACAGGCTGCAGCAGATGGCTACAATAATGCAGAGGAGATCGGAATAAAATGAACTAAACATCTGGGAGAGGAGAGAGCGGGGCCTCCCTCACCACAACTCCCAAATATAACTCTCCCAACTTCCACCTCAGAAACTATAATTGTTGTAAACTACAGCAGAATACTCTTGCTCCCAGCCCATGTGATATGATAGAGCAGAAATAATTTATAGATAAGACAAATTAAATGTTGAATAACAAAGTATTCCAAGCAATGGCATTTCATGAGTTGCTATGTAAGGAAATGCTGATGATCCATGATCTGTGCATAATTATGAGGAAGAGACAAAAAAACGTTTTCCCTCAGCCATATCCAATGCAATATTTTAATGATCTGATTTGATTTCCAAAAAAGGGTAAGAAAAGCATAGAATTTGTGTTGATGGAAAATCTATTTGACTTGGTGCATTCTTCCAAACTGCGGGTGGCAGCACAATATCATCCAGTCTGCCGGAAAGCTACAATTTACAAGAAGAAGATCGATAAACTCGCGAGAATTCCCGGAACCGCTGCTGTTGGAGAGAGGGGTGGTTGAAGAAAAGAAGACAAAACACAACAAAGTAAAACTGGCGCGGGCGCTACTTTTAGTAATAACTTTTTCATAAATTCATAGTTACAGACCACAGTGTCTTCTAACTATTACAACGTGTGGTATCAATTTAGTTAAATAACGTCGTTGGAAGAATTTCACAATGCCAAGTAGCACATCTTTGTTGGAAACGGAGGAAACTGAGCCGGAGATCCCGCCACTAGTTGTGCATGCATTCGCTGACATAAGCCTCGAAAACCACTACAGACAGACGGAACAACCCGAGAGCCTCTTGCATCCACGCCCGGTCTCTCATTTCAATGTGCTTGGTGCGGTGCTGGACCTGCAGCCTATACAGCACCACCACCCGACAGAAGAGGACGAGGAAAGAGCCAACGAAGACGTGTTGGAGGAGAATGGTTTCAACAACACGCTGCTTGTGCATGCCCAAGTCTTGGGACTAGGCTCTGTTATGCCACCTGGAATGGATACGCCCGAGACACTCTTGCTGTACAATGAGCTTGATCACGGCACACTACAACAGGCTACGGGAATGATGATTTTGCCATCAGTGTACGGAGAGCCTGGCTATGAAGTTGAGACATCGCTGCTCATGCGGAGGAAGAGTGTGAACACAACAGAGTGTGTCTCGGTGCCCAGCTCAGAACATGTTGCCGAGATTGTCGGTAGACAGGGTGAGTAAGTTAGCTACTCTAGTTACCTAGCTAACTAGTATTATTATGTTTTAATTAGCCAGACGTGTATGTTGGATACTAGCTTGATTTGGCTAGAATTATATTTTATGTATGCTGCCAATTTGGTAATTGACATTGTAAAATGTAATTTGGAAACAACCAGCTGGCTAACTAATGTAGTTAGCATCCGCTATCTAACTAGTTACTATAACTAGGTCACCCTTCAAATCCACATTTCAAAGTTGGTAAACTGGCAAAGTAAATACCGTTATATTGATTCTAGCTATCTCTCTCTCTAGCCATGTGATTGATGCACATTTGGATTGCAAGTTAGTTAGTTACTAGTAGTTAGCTACCTAGCTAGTTGCGTTTAGCTTGTTTCATGGCATGCTAATTATGATAGCTTCGCCTTTGTTGATCACCATGCCACATCAGCTAGCAAGCTATCGCTAGAAAATCGGTGTAATATACCGTGATTTTAGTTTGCTAGCCATCTATCAAACTGTCTTTTCACCGATGGAGAATACTTTTGACCCTCATAACTTTTTGTATCGACTGGACTGCCATAGAACATGTTTGGCAAATTGTTTTCATGTCTGCATCTGTTATAGAGCTCGCCATCTTGTAGTCCTAAAACCCGGAAATTAGTTCGCTACCTCGGGTTCGAAAACGCCATTCATTTTCCTCATAGGCTTACAAAAAGACGCTATTACTATTTCTCTGTATGTGGGGGATGGTTGACTGTTGTTAAAACCTTGAGGAAATCGTAAATGACAAGATAGTGTAAAGTCCAACTTATACCATCTACAGCGAGACATCTAGTTATTAATTATTAGCATCATCTCAGATTTCACAATAGTAAGAAATCAAGATTGTAACTGTAATTCATTAAAAGGATATAGATTAATGTCTGAGATTCTCCCTTCTAAATTTTTTTTTTTTTTTTTTTTTCGTTAGGTTGCAAGATCAAGGCATTGAGAGCAAAGACCAACACCTACATCAAGACCCCAGTGCGAGGGGAGCAGCCGGTGTTCGTGGTGACAGGACAGAAGGAGGATGTGGTCATGGCCAAGAGGGAGATCCTCTCAGCAGCTGAGCACTTCTCCCTCATCCGAGCCTCCCGGAACAAGGCAGGTCCGATGGCTGCAGCAGGGCCAGGGCTGCCTGCTGCACCTTCCCTACCTGGCCAGACCACCATCCAGGTGCGTGTACCCTACCGCGTGGTGGGACTGGTGGTCGGGCCGAAGGGGTCGACCATCAAGCGCATCCAACAGCAGACGCACACTTACATTGTCACACCGAGCCGAGACAAAGAGCCCGTGTTTGAGGTGACGGGCATGCCTGAGAATGTGGACCGAGCGCGAGAGGAGATGGAGGCCCATATCGCCATGCGTACGGGCAACTGTGTGGAGATTCCAGGAGACGAGAGCGACTTCCACTATAACGGCACCGACGTCAGCTTCGAGGCGGGCGGCTGTGGGGCGTGGCTGCAGTCGAACGCGGCCGCACCTACCGGTGCCCAGCACAGTGGCGTGCGTATGACCGCCAACTACCGCAACGACAGCTCCAGCTCTCTGGGCAGTGGCTCCACTGACTCCTACTACGGTGGAGGGGGGAACCGCATGGCCGACTTCAGCCCCACCAGCCCCTTCAACTCCAATCGTAACAACAACAATGGTGGGGCCAGCTTCTGGTTTGAGGAGACTCTGCTCCCTTTTGCCTCTGAGGAGCTGGCAGCACTGGGCTCTCCTGGGTTTGACCCTCTGGCCATCAGTACAGCTGCTCCTGCACCGCAGCCACAGGTGGTGTGGAGCCACTTGGAACAGGGCGTCCAGCTGTTGGGTGGCCGTCAGGCCCCTGTCCGAGACAGCCAGCCTGGCACGCCTCGCCTCTCCCCTGCCTTCCAAGAGGCCTTGGAACACCCCATGGCCCAGCGGGTTCAGAGGGTCTCCCTCAGTGCCTCAGAGTCTCAAAAGTTCCCAGTCTACGGCCCCACCTTCTCATCCTCCAGTGACAGCTCCAGCTCTCCGCCAGACTCGTGCCGAGGACGCCAGGGATGCATCCGCTGCCTGGAGAGTGAGATCATCGCAGCCCTGGTGCCCTGCGGACACAACCTCTTCTGCATAGAATGCGCCAACCGCATCTGCCAGAGCCCCGAGGCCATCTGCCCAGTGTGTCAGGCACCAGTCACCCAGGCCATACGGCTGAGCCTGCCCTGAGCCCTGACAGGGTGGGTTGGGGGGGACAGAGTGGGTGGGGTGCGGGCCTTGTATTGTCCTCCCGGTCAGGGAACCGATGGGGTCAGACCTGCTAAGTAGCATTGGGATTCCCTAAAATGATTTTTATTTTGACATGTTAAAACTCTTCCTACCTTTTGTTATTGTATTTTTATTTTAAATCTAATGTTCAACTGTCTTTGAATCAAGGTTTAAGTTGGTTGTAACATTTTATTTCTCTCCTGGTTTTAAGCCTTTTATTTTTCTGTTATATTGATTTTATATGAGAAAATACTTATTGTCTGTTATTAGCTGAGCTTACAGACAGGAAGTACCAAGATGTGCTACTTCAGTACTGCCATGCTTTCCATTGCAACTTAAAAACATTATCTGTTTACAGTAACTCGTGCCTAATTCCATTTAAGTAATCTAAACATACAACTGTTTTTGTGGGCACACAGTGTTACCATAGAACTCTACAAAAGAAAAGCCTGTGGCCTTTTTAGAAAGCATGTATTTTATTGAACACTATTACTCAACCCAAACCTTTATGCTTCAGGAGGTCAGACTGACAAAGGACAAGTCTTCGATGCATTCGGGGAGTGACCTGGTCTTCCGTTGGGGTGTGGTCAACTCATGCTCAGATGTAGGTGGTTGGGCTCCTGACATTCCAGCCATATTATCCAGTATTTTTTGACCCACATGTGGAGTCCGACATGTGCGTGGCGCAATCGGCCACATTTAACTTAACTAGCCTACACCTACCCTAATGCGTTATTGGACTAACGGCCTCCTCTGACTCTGTGGTACCACCTCTTCATATGAGCTGCCTTCTCTCACGTTTGAGTTTTATCATGTGCCCAAGCACAGACCCCATCTCTTCTCTCCCCTGCTGACAGATGAGACCTAGTATTCCCCCCGCTGTCATCCTCTCACCCCTTTTCCCGTCCGCTATAGGCTGCATTACACAGGCAGACGGATTCTGATATTTTGCCCAATTATTGACAAAGATCTAATCTGATTGGTCTAAAGACCAATAATTGGTCTGCCTGTGTAAATGCAGCCATAGAGGTATGCAGCTCAGTGTTGAATTCTATCTAACTTCTGGGGAATACATTGGTCCTAAACCTCTCAAGACCAATCTTTACATTCTATGTATGGAATATTGTTAATGACAGGTAAATATACAGATATTTATTTTTATTTCACTTGAAGTTACATATTAAAATGTTTACAAATACGTTTTATTTTTTTCTCTAGTATGTGCAGAACTGGAAGGGTGAGTTGCGGTGTACTGCAGATTGTCAGTGATATTTGCTTGTAGTATAGTTCACCAGTATTGAAAAATGATTAGCTGCCATCTTGTAGTGGAGGGAAAGTGCACATACGCATGTTTTCGTAATGTACCGCATTGTACACTGCAATTGTAAAAGGCAATGGATCAAACATGAGCTGCGTCTGTCTGTTTGCCACCAAATTAATGGAATACATGTATCTTATATGCTGTACCAACAGTTAAAGAAAGTGCTAATTTTACTACACTTTTATGTATATGTAGGGAAGACTAATGGCATATAAATTAAACAAATTGAGTAAAGTTTAAAGCAAACTATATTTTATGATAAATGGCCCTTTTTAAGTTGTGGCCAAAGCACTGATATTATATATTTGCTGTTAAGAGAATTAAGAGTTTTATTTTTCTGATATTAAAGTTCCTTAATAAAGACGGTTTCATTTAAAGCCCTTCTGTCTCATGTTTTGACATTATTTTTTATTTTTTTACGAGGTACATTTAACAGTTGCTGAATATTCATAACTAATCTGAGTAAATGGTTACATTTCTGAAGTTCCACAAAATGTGGTTTTCTACCTCTCATACTGTTAGTAGGGCCTGAGTCTAGACCTGGGTTATCCAAACTCAGTCCTGCCCCCCCCCCCCCCACACAGCTGATTCAAATAACCAACTTATCAAGCTTTTATTATTTGAATCTGCTGTGTAGTTCCTTACTAATTAGTGACCTTAATTCATCAATGGAGGAGTGAAAACCTCCATGGAATGAGTTTGATATTTGTGGTCTAGATTTTAGACCAGGAGCTAGACAACAGGCACCGGGTGTGTTGTACTGCACAGAGGAGAGTACTTCCCTAGCACCGCATCCACCGGGACCTGGAGCTGATCTGCCTGCTGCAGTCTCTGGAGGTCTGTTTGACCTCGCCTGCCGGGAAATAGGTCAAACGTGACAGCTACCGCCCTGGTGCATGGAACCTCCCTGGCGCTAGGACCACATCTTCAGGGAGCGGTCTGTGGGGGCATTTACACAGCTATACACACCAGTTTGGAACTAGAAGAGGTGGCAGCATTGTTGGATCTGCTGTGAGTAGTAAATACACCAATAAGGAGTGGATGGGACACCGCTGTTGCTTTGTTTTTAGATGCACAAAAGCCTGCGTGGCAACTGACAAGGCGCTTACTTGGGCCAGTTGCTTCCCAGGTAGCACAGGCCAGGGTATCGCAAACTCGGTCCTGGGCTCCCCCGGGTGCATGTTTTGTTTTTTGCCCTAGCACTATACAGCTGATTCAAATAATCAAAGCTATTTGAATCCCTGGCATAGGCCATCGACAACTCTCCATCTCACTGTTTTGGGCTGTCTTGTCGATCTCATTCTACCCCACGCAGGATCTGTTAATGTCAGCCTCCAGGTGTTTCGGGTTCTAGGAAAGCACTCGTCTGGTGATGTTTCAGAGGGTGTGGCCAATCCATCGCCATCTTCTCCCCAGGAACCGGGCTGGGTACCTGCTAATGTGTATTATTCAGTGGGTCATAATCAGACAAAGATCCAAATATAAAGTATCAGGCCATTTTTAATAGTTTCACAAAAGAAATATGTAATTACCATTTGTCCAATTACCAGCAACTCATTTAGCTTGTTTCTCCAGGATCCTATGGTAAAACTGCAACTCATACAAACATGTGTATTGGCCTAAGAATGCAACTTAAGATATTGGGCATCGACAAAATCAATTCAACAACTATCACCGTTCCAAAATCAATTAAGGTTGTTGATATCCGAGCAGTTGCATGTACCTAAAGTATGTGTCCAAAATTAATTCCATAAAACATGATACTCACAGCTTGAGCACACTTCAGTCCCAAAAGCAAAGTGAAACATTTAGGGGGGGGAAAAGCAACAAGACAATGTATCACAACAAACTTCTAAGACAGTAACCCATCATCTGACATGAAGGTTGCCTTAATAATGATCTGCTAATTATTCTCCTGAATAACTTCTCAAACAGTGAAGCCGAGAAACATCAGTAACAACAAAAGTCTATCCTAAATCACTTTCTTCTCTAGGGATACTGCAAGCTTTGCAGCAACATTTCTGCAGCATCTGATTTTAACTAAATCAATGACCAAATGTGTATTACCTGTTATTAGGAGATGATGCAACTAAACATGAAAGAAAATGGCAGTTCAGTATCATAGCTATAACAAATTGATTTTGTGTGTGCAGAAATATAAAATACTTAGCCTCATCAGGCAAAACCAGAAATGGTAGGAAAGTGACATGCAGTGTGAGAGGGATCATGGGAGGTGAAAGAAACAAGATGAGGGGTTTTTGTTCACAGCACACGAACACCATGAACCCAGTTAGTGCAGAACCACAACAGAAAAGGGAAGCATCACCCGGATGATGACAGATGACTTGTGATCTTGATCAAAGCCAGACGCTGTGATGGGGTCTATGTCACACTTGATTTCTCCTTTTCGAGGCTGTCCTGTCCTCAGATCAAGGTATCACAAAAACCTGTGCCGTTGTGGGGAAGATGTGTTGCCATCACTTCTCACCATTTATGCAAACATTCACGTGCATTTAAAACAAACTACAATTCATTTATGTACATGAGATAAGGGGGAAATTAATTCAACTTAGAAATAAGATACCCTACAAAAGTGTGTCATCCCCTATATAGTGAAAGGGCAAATGTGAATGTAATTGAAGGTGTCTTAGTGACCTGCCTCTCTGGTCTGAAATATAGTCAATATATCCACCGTTATCGCCCATAGTTCAGGACAATACAATAGCCAAGGGGATAAGGAAGAAAAACAAATTAAGGGCCAAAATAATTGCTTTCAGAAAATACACATTAAAATAAACACCCCAAAAATGTATTATGGTATTGCTGGAAATTGCCTTCAATGCTTGTTTCTGTCTGTACACGAAGTGGCAGAGACCATTACCTGCTCTTCTCACGTAGAGCAAGAAACTGAGTATAGTTTACCATAGTAGTACTATTTTCTGGATAACCATACGAGGTTAACCAGATGGGATCACTGGTAAAAGTGACCAATCGGAGGTCACCAGGGCGATTGATGAGTGGCCCCCTTCCTTCATCAGAGCCTCCATGTCATGATCTGGACACACTTGACACTATGACAGCAAAGAGAAACAAGTATTTGCTTCCTTGAAGCGGTAAAACGGGGTGTCTTTTCTGTCCGTCCTCATTCTAAGGTCTGTCATACTGAAGCGTCACAGTGGAGGGGAGGGGTCCGGCTGGTGGTTCAGTCCAGGGGTTGGGGGTCACCGATGGGCATGGTGTGCAGCACCTCGTCCAGTAGCTGGAGGGCGCGGTGTAGGTGGATCTCGATCCAGCAGGGGGTCTCCTTGATGCTCTGCCGGGGGTAGTCGGGACCCCAGCCCTTGACAAAGCTCATGCGCAGGATGCACAGTCTCCTCAGGTCATCCACTCCGATGCCGGCGGCTGCCGAAAGGCCTGGGTAGGAGAGAGGAGGTGAGGTTTCAATGTAATGGAACCCAACTCGGGCTCAACGACATCACACATCCACACTAATGAAGAGCTCCAGAACAGATTCCTATGCATCGTCAATGACTGACCGATGCTACAATTGGATGGGACGATTGGTAAATGATTTTGGAACGGGCTATTAGAAAAGTGGCGTGCGAGGGGTGTAATTAGTAATCTGTTGTTCTGAGGGTTACATCACCGGTGTGAAGTTGTGTGAAAGTCAATAGGAGCCGAGTGTGGCGTCTGTGGGAGTATTATAGTGTTGCTCAAAAGGAGAGAAGTGTTGTGCTGCTTACTAATGGCGGGAGCGATGCCTCCCACGGAGCCCGGTCCAGGGATGTTCCCGGCCACGGCGGCTGCCTGGGCCGCGGCTGCAGCCTGGGCCGTCGCTGCCTGCTGCTGCATCTGCCTGTGGCACTGACGCAGGTCAAACACCTGGGAGGGAGGGGAACAAAACCAATCCATTTACTACCTAGTGCATGCAGTCCACAGCTTGGACACCAGGGGGCGGATAACAAAACAATCAACACATTGGTGATGCTGAGGAAACGTAGGCGCTGGGACCTGCCTTGATGTAGGCGCTGGGGTAGATCTTGTGCACGGCGTCGCCGGGGGCGCGGCCGGCTTCCCGGTCCAGGTAGTAGCTCTGCACGAACACAGCATGGTCGCTGAGGCAACGCACCCACACGTCCCCTTCACCTTTGCCCTCCAGCTGGATCCCCTTACCGATGTGGAGCCTTGGGAAGTCAGAAGAAGAGCAGTTATCAGTGGCATGACCAAATACTCTGCCAAAGGCAATGTCATGAATTGACCTCCATTCAGAGCCAGAAGCACAACACAGTTGTGGTTAGGAACAGCGGTCAGGAGGCTGGTGTACCTGGCTCTTTCGATGGCCTCGGTCCGGTGCACGTTGCTCAGCTGGCCTAGGCAGAAGCGGTCTCCGCCCGACGGGTCCACATAGCCGTCCACTGTCACGACGGGGCCAGTGGAGGGCACCTTGAAGGTCTCTCCCACCTGCACGTCCATCTCAAAGTAGGCTATGGAGCACCAGTAGTCGGGAGCTGCAACAGACCCACAGCCCAAACTCAGTCTTCTCTCCTCTCCAGACCAACACAGCCCTCTGAACACCTTGTCAGGTAAAAACAGGCATCACGCTTCACTTACCTGGATGGTTGGATATGGGGGGCTGGAAGCCAAGGTCGTTGTGCACGGGCCCTGTGAGGGTAACATAAATGCAACAATGATCAATCGTGAACGGAATTCCTTCAACCCTGGCCACATCGGTAAGTTGCGGGAATTATGTGTTCTAATAATTAAATTCATGTTCTACTCATCCTGATAGTGGCATGGACTCACAGTAATGTCCTGGAGGAGGCATGGGTGGGTGGTGTTGCAGGTGCCCATTCTGATGGTGAGGCATGTTGGGCGTGAAGCTGCTATTTCTAGCCCAGGTGGAGGTGGCATCTGTAAGGGCACAGGTAGATGCCTACAGATGAGAATTGTAGGGAGAACCCACACTTCGACACTGTCCATACACCCAGTAAATGAGCTGTGATGCATTTCAGAGAGGGAGGGGAAAGTGGGCGTGTTAATAATAGCGAACGAGAGGGAAAAGAGTAAGTGACCACCAACAAAACAGGTTCCATTTCCTAAGTCATTACATTCCAGGACGAGTTTGATATTACTGTGAGGTGATTCTTGCATGCAATTTAGGGGATTTGTCCTCCAAGGTTTCTGTCTGTAAGCCACAAACTTACCTGTGTAGTTAGGCTGTAGCTAAACAAACATCCCAAACCTAGATAAACAACTTTCCAGGATTATTACCGCTACGAATGACTCAAGACCTCTACTGATTTGGGTGAGGAGGATACCAAGAGCCATAAAACTTGGGAAGATGGAGTGGACAGGGTGGTGGAGTTGGAACTCACTTCCTGATCCGACAGAGATGCTGGGGAAGGCGGAGCTGGAGGCGGTGCTGGCGTCAGAGGGGGGCAGCAGGCCAGGGGTGCCGAAGGGCTCTGAGGGGGGCCCACCTCGGCTAGAGGGAGGGTGCTGAATGGTCTGGAGGGAATGACCCCCGTCCATGGTGGGCAGTGGGGGCTGGCCGTCAAAGTCATACTCATCTTTTACCATCAGTCCCAGGCTGGGAGCTGAGAGCAGCACAGAGTCAAGATAAAAGGTCAACAAGAAACAGAACAGACAACCAGGCTTCCATCCAATCTGTTTATGCCAGTAAAGTGCATGTCGGGTAAAAAAAATAAAAAGAATGACAGGCCTGATGGAAACAGAAAACGTTTCGCTAAACTTTCCAAATGTCGACCAAACAAAATACACTAGACAAGGTGGTATCTTTTCATGTCGGCAAAATGAATTATGCGAGAATATGTTGGTGGAAACATTTTGATGCGCAAATATTGATATAATAACCATCACATCGAAGTAAATACATGATGACATGTTATGTGGTCCTCCAACTACGACTCAGGAAAACATGCAGTTTATTAGGCAACAGATTAACTAAATGATGATGAACTTCACAGGGTGGTGAAAGGGCAAGGTGATGAGCTTGATGCTCCTTTTCCAATAAATATTGAGGGTCTTATTCTGGTGACATGTTCATCGATGCTTGGCTGCCGTTTGACATATAAAAATAATCTTGCTCTTTTGTCCATAATAATTTCATCATGTAGGCTATACGTGCGAATACCAGTGGGCACACTCGCTATTGAACACATTGTTTGTGAGAAAACCCATCAGTAGAGTTGAAAATGCGCTAAAACAAACAATTGAACTTGTATTTTCTAGTTGGTACGTGGTAATATTACCGCAAAAGGTGTTTTAATGTGCACTACGTCATCACACACTGCCTTTCATCTGCAACAAGTCAATTTTCTAGAAACATCTCTGGTGGGAAAATACGCATAGTGTTTTTATGCAGATTTTAGAATGTAAAATCTGTCCCCAATTGGATGGAAATCTAGCTATTGGCAAAAAATAATGCCGTCATAAGGTATATAACCATCAAAATGGAGGTCACTTACCTGAGCTTGTGAGTTGTAAACTTGATAGGTCTGTGAAATAAAATGGAAACGATGATGAGCTAAAGATATCAGTCACAGGAGATCAACACAAACAAATGCCAGGGACATCAGTACACTCACCAATACCTGGAGACACCACCCGGTCGTAGTGGTAGGGGTTCACACAAACGCTGTCACACTTCAGGTCAAAGGCAAACTGGCAATATTTCACATGCTTCAGTTCATTTTTATGCAGATCGGGCCATCTCCACAACCGAGTGTAGATGACGTGGGGAAACCCTTTCCGCCCTGCCACCTGAGAGGGACAGGGATGAAAGATATTACAGGATTAAGCCGGTTGATTGAACTCAATGAAAACGTTCTTCTTCACCCAGAGGTGCTAATAGGTCTCATGTCCTTATACTCAACCTTATATATATATATATATATATATATATATATCTCTATATCTATATATATATCTATCTATATATTTTTTTAGGGGGTAGAGCAGCTTTAATATTGCAGATTGATTGTAACTTCCATCAATGTAATTGTCTGCATCACTTCCAATCCCCCATGTTTTTTTTCTCTCGCATATAGATTAGATAGATACACATATACATATATATCTATCTATCTATCTATCTATATCCTCATCTTGGCATGATCCTCACTTATAACGCTATCTAACCCTTTTTACATCTGGCTACTTGTAGCAGATCCCCAGACAGTGGTGTAAGGTGAAGTTGCCCCTAGACGCTGACCTTGGGTCAGTTTTGCATTTTCCCACTAATGGGTAAGGTTATAATTGGGGGAGGGGAAGCTGACCCAAGATATGTACCTTGGGAAAACTTCACCCCAGACATTGGTGTAGTCCCTACCTGCAGACGGCCATCCAGAGTCCGCCCAATGGTGACACACTTGCTGGGGTGAGCTCCATTGGTAGTGATGGCTGTGATGAGGGAGTCCAGTTCATCCTTCTTCTCCTTTAGCTTCTTCACCAGACTTTCTATTGCTCGCTTGGCAAAGGTCTCGCTCTCTCCCCCTTGCCTATGACACATCAAGCTGTGTACAATGCTCAGGCAAGCATCATTACTCGAAGGGGTGTTGGTGATAGACATCCTGAGAACCACTAGTGTATGCTGCTCCGTATCGTTCTATAGGGAATAAATACTTTGTCCCAACTATAAATGTTGTTGTTTCTTACTGTATGGCGCAACACATCAGAAAGATTAAGCTATGAGAGGGTGTCCCCTCCAGTCCAATTTTCCAAGTTGAAGTCCACCAAGGCATCCCAGTACAAAATTAAATGATTGACACACTGCTTCAAGGGAAAGGATTGAGGGTTCTGAAAGAGGACAGAAGGGAAGAATGGTTATTATGACACTTTATGGCCTTTACCAATATCTCAACAATATCTTATATAAACAAGATGTTTATTAGCTAGCTACCTACATCCCATCGTGTCATGATAAGCACATCTTATTATGACGTTCATCCTAAACATCATGCACTAAATTATTGACTTAACACGATGCTACAGTACTGCATGTGCAACGTAGTTAGCTAAAAGGTTTCTTGACCGATGGCATAGTTGGCTAACTACGTTGCACAACAGTGACCTGAGTAATAACAAAATAGCTAACAGTAGCTACCGTTCGTTACTAGCTAAATATTTATATAAACTGGCTAGCTAGGCAGCTACAGAGTAGCTACTGTATGCAAAATTCGTGTAACTGTAGCTAGCTAAGGTAACTAAAGTAGCTAGTTAACCCAATGCACAATAATAAAGCGCACTGTTTTAAACAAAAAAATATATAGTGGTCGGGAACTGAGGCTATTGCTAGCCAGCTGCATAGCAGGGCAACCAGTTAGCTAACGTTAACGAGCTAGCTTCTCAAAACGAAGAAACATGTCAACAACATAAATGAGCAGCCATTCTCAGTCCGAGTGTTTATAATATGGTGTTGATAACACTAGCTAGCTAACTATCCACGGTCATTTCGTCTGATATCAATCAAAAGCAGGTCGAAGCCAACGATTAGGCTATTTCGCTGGCTTACTCGCGAGTTTCACTACTAAGCGACGTAGCCACCCCGTCCCTCATCCACATACATACCCTGCATACACGGCCGGGATATTCCGTTCTTGCATTTGCGCTGGAACTGTGCTGATCGACCGTACCTCTTTGTTTATCCAAAATGTTTATTTGATCATTTAAAATAACATAGGGAAATCATTTGAATGTCAAAATAAACGTTGGATAACAAATCACGGCTTTGTATCAACGCTTCCAAAGATTATGGATATTCTGACAAGATACATGTCTCTCCGCCCTAACAATGGGAGTCGTTGTCCACAAAGCGGTACGGCGGGCTGTCTAGCTCCCGCCTATCCTTTCTTTGGATTGGTGGATTATCTCATTATTGTAATCATTTTTTTTAAATATTCGATGAGGGTTGATGACGTCACATGCCTGTATTCAATGGAGAGGGATCCTATGCTACAAGCCTCATTATATGCATAGCCATCTCAAGACAAAACTCCGATATCTCAAAGTTGCCGGAATGTCACGTGTCCTACTTTTAAACGATAATGCCCGAGATATATTGGCACGGGTGTTGTTCGTATCGGGCCAACAAACACCGGCTTAGAGGACATTATCAAATAAAATATAATAATATTTTATTGGCCACATGCACCGAATACAACTGTTGCATACATTACAATGAAATGCTTACTTACTTTTATACAAGGGGTTACCAACATATTCAAATAATGATTGACATATTTTCATTAAAAAATTCTTGATGGTATGAACATTAAGTTGTTTTATTCTTCAGAAGGTTGAAGAACCCTATCACTGTGTAAAATTAGGAGAAAGAGAGTCAATAATTTATTTTATTCAGACAACTTACAAAATATTTCCAAGTCTTTCATTCATTGCTTGATTCACAACCAGCTCCCTCTGGCTTTTGTTTACAGTATTTAACATCACAACCAAGTGTAAGGCCTCAGTGAAGCCTTATGAGGGGTATGGGTATCGTGAGAAAGTCCTCCGCCAGGGACACCTCTATGCCTGTGCCCTGCAAAGCCTCCTCAGCTTGTCTCCTGAGCTCCAAGACATTGTCCTCATCACCCTCTTTGTGCTGGCCAGCCGGCTTATACCTCTGACTGAAATGGTAGAGCACCAGCATGCGTGCGGAACAGGCCTGTGCCACTGCAGCTGCCATACTAGGTGTGCTGTGCCCATGGTCCACTGCCTTCTCCCGATGCTCATCTGACAGGGTGGCCTCATGCACCAGGATGTCAGCTCTGTGACAGGCCCTCAGGGGCCCCTCCCCCAATAACGAGCTGCAATCCCCTAAAACACAAACTTTTCTCCCCGGAATGGCTTCCTCCAGCACCTCACTGGGCTTCACCACTTGTCCATTTTCCAACGTCACCGACTCGCCAGCTTTCAGTCGCCCATAGAGTGGTCCAGGCTTCAAGCCTGAGGGAAAGACAAAAGGTTTTTCCTTTATTTCAAAATGGAATGACCTTAAAATAAAAACGTGCACACTGCTATTGCCAGTATCACTTTAGTTTATTAAGTTTACATTGTTTTATCTGCCTCTCAGCCTTCACACACTGGCAAGAGCAGTGTGCAAGTTTTTATTTTATTTTTAGATGTCATCGAATTATTCTCACCTGCAACAACCAAAGTTAGATATGTAAGTTATTTTACAATTGAGTAACCTCAATTCAGTATGTCAAATGATAGCTTTTTGGCCTTCATGTTGATGACATAACAATGGCTTGCCTATATAAAACATTGGGATAATCAGATAAATCCCAGAGATAAACATATAGATCATTATGCCAGGTATATATTGTGATTACCAAGATCCTTCAGTAGTTCTGTCTTCAAACGCCCTGGCCAATCATGTTCTTGAACGGAGAACCCGAAGGAGGGTACCCGATGGAACAAACGGAACGCCTTCACAACAAAACGCTTCTCCTCCAGTATAACATAGCAGTCACTGCTGACATCCAGGGGGATTGTTCGGCCAGGGCGTTCTTGGGGATGGAGACGCCCAGAATCTGCTGTGACATCAGGGCTTAGCTGACCCTCTGGAGGACACTGGTCAGTGGTGGGCTCTAGCTCATGTACTGAATAGGGAAAGAGAAGCTGGGAGCTGGTGAGCTCTAATGCCACCCTCAGGAACTGCCTGAGACCCTGGGGACCATAGATATCCACACATGTTGGAGGCTGGGTTGGACAGGGGTTGAGGTTTAGGCTCACAGTGCACAGCAGCCCTGGTAGACCAAAGAGGTGATCACCATGCAGGTGAGAGATAAACACTTTGGTGATTCTGCCTGTAAGAAAAACATAAAGGCAGTGTTTTTTTTTTTTTTATTCAGACATTTTTCAAAAGGCAGAGACCACTGTCATCGGTCAAAGGTTACAGGCTGTAAAGTTTGTAACCTTTCATCAATGAAGTGATCGCAAAGAGGGTGGGCAAGTAACATTACCTAGCTAAAAATGCTAACAAATAACGTGATAGCAAAGAGGGTGGGGAAAGTAGCTAATCGTGTGTTTGTTTATAGTGAAAACAAAATGGCGAACATAGAATAAACCGTTAATTATATCGCCAGAACAACACGTTTGACATTGCTAATGCTAACTAGCTAGCAACGACTCACTAGCCTTCAATTGACTCTTCATCAGTTGAGTTTGCGTCCCTTCTCCGCAGTCAAATAGCCAGCACTCCCCTTCTGTTCTGAGTACCAGTGCAGAAGCGCCACGATGGGGGGAAGGGTATGCCGACCCTGTCCCCAGAAAAGTTAGGTCCATGGTCATGTTGAAAAACGATTTACATTTCATTAAACGAACATTAAAACAGCAGTAGCATTACCACATAATATCCATTATATTGTCCAGATACTCTAGTGGCCGCTTTAAGAATGAAAATAAACGTCTTAAAAAATGGAAGGCAGTCGGGAGGAGGCAAGATCAGGTGGGACCACTCTAGCCAATGAGAAGGCAGTTAGCCAATGAACAACAGGCACAACGTTTACCACAGCCACAAAGTCTAAATTGCATTATATCGTAAAAATTAATGAAAACCAAAATGTGCTTTTTGGGTTAGTTAGGTTTAAAATCACATTTTAAGAATAGAAATTGTAGAAATAGGCGGTGGTTGTGGCTGTGGTAACTAGTCACGACCAGGCACAACTCCAATATAAAGTGGGTTTTCTCAATGTTGCCGGGATGTCACGTGTCCTACTTATTTCAGTCTTCAGTCTTTAGTACAGTCGTAACAACCTAATCATTACGAAACTTCTATTCGATCAAATAAATCACATGTAGCAAATAAGCCATTCCGTGTCGCGTTAACAAAATTCGACAAGTTCATTGACCTCCATACAAAAACTCCTCTCTTGGTGAGCTAAAAGAATTAAACACCGCCACCTGCTGGAAAAGACAGATTTTGGGCCTAACATATAGATTTTGGGCAGTTATCCCTCTCGCCCCGTGCGTGCCAGAGAGGAAGAGGTCATCTTTGTGCGTGCTCGAAACAAAACCAGGCGCGCATATATGACGCAAATACAAGCGACGCTGACGCATCTTGCATAGGGGGAAGAGAGGGGCGCATTCGTTGTCCTACTAAAGAGAATCGTAATTCTTGTTGAAGAAGAGGATCATGTCTATTTGTTTGCTCATCAGCAAAAATGGAAGCCATAAACCGATTCATCTACCTCACCTACAGACAGTTGTCTTGGGTCGGGGTCCAGAAACAACGATAAAAGACAAAAAATGTTCCAGGGAGCAGGTTGAGCTCAAGGCAGACTGCAACAAACGGCATATCAGTGTAAAACAACTGGGTGTCAACCCCACTAGTGTGGACAACGACGTGGTGGGTAAAGGCAACCAAGTGAGGATGAGATCTGGCCAGCAGCTGCACATGGTCAATGAGCTGTACCCGTATACCGTGTGCTTCAAAGAGGATCCGTCCAACTCTCAGTCCAGCACAGAGGACAGCGTGGGCACCAAGAGGCCCCGTGGGCCTGCCTCAGAGGAGCATGAGCTTCACAGAGGTCCCCCTGGGCATAAAGTACCAAGGAAAACAGAGGACTCCACTCAGTGCAAACATGGAGGGTCCATCTCCACCAACACATGGCCTGAACCTCACACAACAGAGAAAACTGAAACTTTAGGATATTGGAGCCAAGGATTGAAAGCCTCAATGCAAGACCCCAAAATGCAGGTCTACAAGGACGACAGAGTAGTTGTTATCATGGACAAGTACCCCAAGGCTCACTATCACTGGCTGGTCCTGCCCTGGGAGTCCATCCCCAGTCTGAACACACTGCGCAGGGAGCACTGTGATCTGTTGAGGCACATGAACCAGGTAGCGGACAGGATTGTACAACAGCAGTGCCCCGATGCCGGCCTGCTACACTTCCGCCTGGGCTACCACGCCATCCCCAGTATGAGCCATGTCCACCTCCATGTGATCAGCCAGGACTTTGACTCCCCGTGTTTAAAGAACAAGAAACACTGGAATTCATTCACAACCGACTATTTCATAGAATCTCAAGAAGTCATTCATATGCTGGAAAAGGATGGGAGGGTCACAGTAAAAGAAGGGACAAATGAGTTGTTGAAACTACCTCTCCGCTGTCATGTGTGTGGCATGGCACTGTCCACCATACCACAACTTAAGGAGCACCTGAAATCTCACCCCTATGGTAGATTGTGACACGTATACAGATATGATGCTAATGACGCAATTGTAGAAAAAAAACATGTCTATGGAACCACATTGTCAATTTTATTGCTGCAGATGCTCATAATATACATAAGCCAGTTGTCATTTACTTTAATAGTCTGCAGCAAGTATGTTTTTTGTACAAATAAGAATTCAAACAAATTATTTTATTGTTTTCAGTGTAGACAGTTGACTCAAGTGTACATGTCTGAATATAAAGCTTGGGAAAACAATTGTTTATAGTTTCGATAGTTGCAAAAGTTTGCGACAAAAATAAATTCAAACTTGGCTTCAGAAAGTGGCACAGAAAATGGAAAATCTGTGATTTCTATACTGTCTATAATCATCTTAGTGTGAAAATCCCATTTGAAAAAACGATCAACTCATGATTTGATATGGGATCCAATATTGGTGTTGATCATCAGAGGGTCATAATGTTGACCAGCTTGGAATTAAATCCATTTGGAGATGTTGTTCAATAGATACACAGAAGTTAAATCATTAAAGGACAAAAGGAAGGCGCAACAGCAAGTGTAAAACTAATTTTAATTCTGCACATATAACAGCACACATAGGGGTCTGGAGGAGCGCTTTTTCCGCTTTGTGCGTTCGTTCGCTAAGGCCATACTGCGTAACAAAAATAAACTCCAGAAACACATACATGTATGCACACATCAAAGACATTGGAAGAGGAATGACCATGGGGGATTCAACACTTTTACCAGGCCACTTACAGTAAATCAATGAAAAGGGAACAACAAGACAAATCACCAGATATAACTTGCACGACACAGCACAGCAATTCTCTGAATGGGAGACCAATGTTACAGAATTATGGGCCAACATAATCATTGAATGAGACTGACTGTCATTTAATGGTCCAATCTAAATTCAAGGGTACAAGATAGTACATTTGTGAATGGCATCTCATCAAACTAGTTTGATCAACTACAACAAGAGGACTGTAAAATAGTACAAGATATATAATTAGCCCGTGGGATATGCAGAAAAAGAATACAGAAACCGTAAGCCGATTTGAATATATTTTTCTTCAACTATTGTGTTCCTATACAATCAGTTGTTCTTTGGCTACGTCTGCGGTGAGAAGTGAGAGATGTGTATAAAATGGACTCATTTCGCCTTAGCATGCACTCCAGTGCAGATGGATAAAAGCCAGCCAATGACCCTTAGCTAAACGGTCTCACAAATCTAGGACCTGTGTATCTTAACTTCAGCTGCCTTACGCTGCTTTTCTATCCAGCTTATCTTTTTGCTTATTTCCAATTACTCACAAAGTGAATGAATAGTTCTGTATGTAAAATGTGACTAAAACGTGTAAACCAGTAAAACGTTTGTTTTTAATGCTTGTAAACCATATGCTGCCAATACAAAACTGACTGTGCAGAGCATTATAGTAATGTAACTTATTTCTATGTTTTCTGACAATGGAGCTTATCCTAACATTGGTCTATTTGGATATGGTGCTTATTGCAGCATCCTTCTCTCTATACTGTAAATTAGCCCCAACCCTTGAAATGCATATGTCCATGGAATATGACTGGTTCCCTATGCCTGGTCTTTAGTCTGGGAGAAACTCATGGCGATATGATCTGGGGTATATTCATTGGTCTTTTGTGAAATGTTTTGCAACGGAAACTGTTTATTCTAGGAACCAAACGGAACACATGTCCAATAGAAACTAATTTTCGTTGCAAAACGTTTTGCAATAGACCAAACGTTTTAAACGGAATCCGACTAAAGAATACACCCCAGGATTATTGACAAAAACATATTGATCTAGTTCACAACTGTCACTGTCCATCTTCAAGTTAAATATAATCAGAGCTAGGGGACATTTGACACCCACATGTGAACTTACTCTCTACAAAAGAGCCAGGCTCTGTCAACTGTCTAACAAGTGCATAAGTAAAGTGCAAGTCGTTTTGGATAAGAGCGTTTACTTTCTGAATTGACCCCAACCCTGCATTTGCAGACCAAATTCCAATTCAAAATGTTCCTCATTGAAAAGCATTTAAGAGAATTGGAATTTCAGTGCACTTCCTGAATTGTCTAGAATTAAAATAGAATTGACCCCAACCCTAAATGACTGAATGTCAACACAATATACATACACTGTATATTATTATATTATTATTATGGGGATATGCATATTTGCACATTTGTTTTGTTTTTTAAAGCCTATAACCTATCACTGAGTTACATACTATTTTACTTATATTTTTGCATAACTTTCATGAAGTAATTCAAGCAAGGTCTCCAGAGCTTGGAGTGATATTATATGTTGGAATCCTTCCGTTTAGCTAGCAGCATGCTGACTAACACAAACCCCACTTCTGGAGGGTTTTCATGTGGAAACTGATCAATGGCAATATCTGATATCAAAACAAAAACAAGTCAAATGAAGAGTAGGTGCCAAATTCAGAGAAATAAATAGGAGTGTAAAAGCCTTGAGACAGAGCGGATTCTGGTTACTCTAGTGCAGGGGTGGGCAAACTACGGGCCGTAGGAGGTTTGAGTAAAAAAAATGTTTTTTGGGGGGTAAAAAAAAAAAAACTCCAGGCCACTCTTGAACGACTAAAACTAGATATAAATTCTTCTGGCCCACCAATTAATTTTTACAAACAAAATCGGTCAAAAAATATCTGTGCTGCCCTCTGTTGAATTTTGAAATCCCGATGTGGCCCTCGAGCATAAAAGTTGTCAATAGCCCTGCCCTAGGAGTGGATTAAACAAATAACCTCATTTCACTGTCCTCCCCACCTGCCCTCCTCCTCCTCATTTTTCCCATCACCCCAGTTTAACCATTCCCTCTTTAATGCCCGCCCGCCCGCCCGCCCGCCCACCCACCTTCCCTTCCACACCCAAGACTCTCTACTGATCAGGTGCGGGTTTCATCCCTTTCCACTCATAGATGTCAGGGAGGAAGGAGTCGTAGTTGATGTCCCATACAGTTGACCTGACAAAGGTGTCCTTGTCCTTGGGCTCTGGGTACCGGAAGGCCATGTTGTTGGCGTACACAAACCGGACCACCTGCAGGGGGAGACAGTGAGACGCAGAGTACATTTAAAGACACATCTTTGCCACAGATAGAACAAAGACACAGATGTTTCACTGGATGTATAAATGTGAAGCATCCGCTTGGTGTTTCCACTCACTACCAAATATGGTGATGAGAGGAAGCCCAGTGGCCGGCAGTGGGAGAAGATGGAACGAGATGGATTTTGGCCGACATTATGCACATATTTTCATTAATAAAACATCTGATCTCAGTACAGTTTTCTGTTCGCAAAACTACAATCTGTTTTGAACAGAGCGGACAAAGTTTTGTAGACTTCAACCTTTGCCAAAACTAAAATGTGCCCTCTGACACCATTAGACCGAAGGCAGCGCGGGTACTCTTTACGCCATGCTCCTCAGTATATTTTGTGTATGACGAAGCCACCGATTTCATCGTAATCAAATGAGTTTTACCTTGCTCATTTTGTAGAATGCTTTTTCAACTTATTAATTTATCTCCCTCAAAATGTATTTGACAGACAAGAAGTGAGACGTAGAGTGTCTGATCCTGACCTTGACTGCCATCTGGATAGAGACCTCTCGGATGTTGGACAGTGGCGGGTACAGCCTCCCCTCCGCCAGCTCCTCGTCAGTCAACTGGTCTGCCAGGGTCTGACGGAATGACAAAAACCACGGTCAACACTTGCATATCATTTGCGTAACAATTTGCTCTGTAAACAAAATACTAAAACATGAGTAAAATATCTCTTTTAAGGGTCTTTTTGTCAATGATTGTGTAAACACAGGGGAGATCAACAGAGAGAGAGACAGGCCGAGAGTTCTGAAAGAGAGAAATGCAGTTGTATTTCCGACCTTGGCAGCCTCCAGGAAGACCGTGTCACTGATGTGTCTCACACCACTGAGGATCACAGCCAGGGCTACACCTGTAGCCAGACAATCAGACACACTGCACGTTTACCCCTTTCAACAGTCGACACATACAAGTCTCACAATACACTGTATGTGGCGCATCCATGCGTATCCACTTTCCATGGCTGTTGACGAGAGAAGGCTCATTGAGATTTTCTTTTTTTAAATACAGATGAGTAAACATGACCATCCAATGACTCTAACCTGGGAATATATAAGCATTGTTCCCTTGTCCAGGTGTGAACACACGTCCGTCAGCCAGAGTCACCGTGTCAAATGGACTTCCACTGGCAAACAGGCATCGGCCCTGGATATCAAACAACAACATACAGAGAGAGAAGCCATGGTGACTGTGGGTCAACGTGTTGGTCTGGGCCTACACACTACCAAAAAACATGAGAGGAGGGCTGCATTCCAAATGGCACTCGATTTCCTATATAGTGCAGTACGTTTGTAGTGCATTATATAGGGAATAGGGAGTCATTTAGGACACAGCTGAGGACATGGGTGAATCGACGCGTACATCCGTGAGGGTATAAGCATCTTCAGCCGTGCACTCGGCCTTGTTGGTGGGGTTGCTCAAGGCGAATATAATTGGCCGTTTATTTAGGGTGCCCATCTTTTTGAGGACGTCGTGGGTAAAGAGGCGTCCAGCCCCGGACACACCTGTGAACAGGTGACAAGTTAGGGTTACCAGGCACAGGCAGCAAGAGTTACACAGATTTAAATAATACAATATATTATCACTATTATAAAGACGAGAATGGCGAATATGGATCTTTACCGATAATGGCTGTTGGTTGGATGACGTTGACTGCATCTAAGAAGCTCTGCACATCTCCGGGGCTTTCATGCACAAAAGCCTCCTGGTTGCTGTCTGTCTCCTGCGCTCGGCCCTACAGCAAGTCACAGGAAAAAAATATTGAATTCAAATTACATTTCTTGATAAAAAATTCAAAAATGACTGAATTCAGATTCCATTTCTGTTGGCGCTAATGTCACTCCATACACAGCGTTTCAGTTACGCCACACAGTTACAAAGGAGAAGTGAAAGACAAAGTGTCTGTGTTTGGACTGGATCATGACCTTGACCAGTAGGCCGTCCTTGTCAAACATCCAGATCTTTTTCCTGGCTTCGTCCTGGGTCAAACCCTTCTCCACCATCGACATGGTAATCAGGTTGGCGATACCCAGGGCAGCCTGGAGAAAAAAAACCACACAATTATTTATATTCAGCTGACAAAAATATCACGAGTGCAAAAACAAGTGACAAGTAAAATGTCCTGCGTCAATTTACAGTATGACTTAGTATCTAAGTCAGTATGAAGCAAATTTAAAATGACACCTATTATTATGATTTAGTGAGCACAGTGTTAACCATTTGGTACAACCGTTTAGTGCCTACTATGTCAGGTAAAGGTATTGTTGTATGCAGGCATTGAATGCTGGTAATACAAGTAGGAGAATGGCCTACCTCCCCTGCTCCGCAGAACAGGACCTTGTGTTCAGTGATGGGTTTCCCAATGGCCCTCTGAGCTGCTAACAGCCCTGCCAGGGCAACCGCTGCAGTTCCTGAACACCGCAACGCACACTGTAAATGCATAACTCTTTCAAATACTTTTGAGCGTTTGCTCTAGTCTGCCTGGAGTGCCAGATGGGTGGGGTTTTGCATTTGCGCGAATATTCTATTTGTTACATTGCGCCAGGCTAGCTCAATCAATCACATAGTAAGTATTTTAAATGATTTCAAATAGTATTTGAACCCAGGTCTGCTATTCACCTAGCTGTACATACTCACTACAACACACTCCATTTGGCATACTGTATTTACATGGTGTGAATTCAGACCTTGGATGTCGTCGTTAAAGGTGCAGTACTTCTCGCGGTATTTCCTCATCAAGCGGAATGCATTGTGATTCCCAAAGTCTTCAAACTGGATCAGGGTGTCCTGGCCGTACTTCTCCACCACAGCCTCCATGAACTCATCGATCAGGTCATCGTAGAGCTGGGAGCGATCCCGCTTCTGGTACAAACCCATGTAGAATGGGTCCTTCAGAAGTGTCTGGAATAAGGAGACTGGTTATAGATATGATACAGTATGTAAGATACCTAACAGATAAGCCACTATATTTCCTTTTGTATATAACATGACAAACAATTTGCATATTTGGGAGCTCCTTAGTTAATCTTTGTTTTCAACTAATTGTACTGAGATGTTTTCATTTCGATGCGATTATCAATAAAGCTTGATTTGATTTGGTTTTTGACTCGCCTCGTTGTCAGTTCCCACATCGATGACCACAGGAAGGCACCTCTCGGGCCTGATCCCAGCGCAGGCGGTGTACAGGCACAGTTTCCCCACGGGGATGCCCATCCCAAACACCCCCAGGTCCCCCAGGCCCAGGATACGCTCTCCGTCTGTCACCACCACCGCCTGGACAACAGGTAGGGGGTTCTATTCATTAAGCACCAAACGGAACTGAAACAGATTGGGGTGGGACTACCTGAACTTGCCCTAATGAATGCCACCCCGGGAGGGGCTTTCAGAGAGCGAGGGGCTTTCAGAGAGCGAGGGGCTGTCAGAGAGCGAGGGGCTGTCACTCCATTACACAGCAAAGCTACACCAGTATAAAGAAATCATGTTTTCATTATGGTGCGGAAACTCAGCTTACCGCCACATTGGTCTCTGGCCAGTTGTCCAATATGGAGCGAATGTGTCCTCGATCCAAGATGGATATGAACAGGCCTCTGCGGGTAAAGTAATAGAGTCCTCAGACATAGTTAACTGCCTCTCCCTTTGTCTGATAGGAAATCGGACATTTTAACAATCTAATCAAATGTATGGCAATCTAATCAACGGCAGGGTTGTGGGTTCGATTCCCACGGGGGGCCAGTTTGAAAAGAATAAATGTATGCACTCACTAACTGTAAGTCGCTCTGGATAAGAGCGTCTGCTAAATGACTAAAATGTAAATGTAATCATTTTTAGCCATCTAATCAGATTTGAGCAATCTAATCAAAACCAATATCTATAGTAAATCGGAGAGGGTGTGTATTCTTATGAAAGAGCAGAGGGCCATTACTAAACATGTTTAAAAAAATAAATAAAATGAAGACCCAGATCTTACTTGGGTCTCCTGAAGATGTGTCCGTACTGTGTACAGGCCAGGCCCACAGTGGGAGTGTAAACGATTGGCATCAGCTCCTCGATGTCCTCCATCAGCACGCGGTAGAAGAGCTTCTCGTTCCTCTCCTGGATCCCCATCAGGTAAATGTACCTGGGAAGAGTTTTGATAGTGCTTACAGGTGCGTTCGTTTTTATGTCCAATTGTTATGCGATTGAGTTCATTACTTAGTGTAGCAATAAGAACTGCACTGCTGCAGTCTCAGACGCTGTAATGCGTGAAAATATTATTGGCACCCTATTCCCTATATAGTACACTACTTTTGACCTGAGCCCGTTCTCACTTCTCCAGTGGCTCTGTCATCTTCTTCAGGTTCCTCTGGAAGCGCATGGCCTGGATGTCCTGGGACTCTATCTTGGGGGGCAGAAGACCCTGGAGGCCCAGGATCTGCCTCTCCTGCAGTGAGAAGGCCATGCCCTGGAGGAATGGAAAGAAACGAGAGAGAGAGAGAGAGAGAATGAGGGAGAGAGATAGAGAGAGAGAGGGAGGGAGGGAGGGAGGGAGGGAGGGAGGGAGGGAGGAGGGAGGGAGGGGGGGAGAATAAGAGAGCATGAGGGAGAGGGAGGGAGAGAGAGAATGAGAATGAGGGAATGAGAGAGTGAAAGAATGAGGGAGAGAGAGGGAGAGAGAGAATGAGGAATGGGAGAGGAGGGAGAGAGAGAGGAGGGGAGGAGTGGAGGGAGAGCGAAGAGATGAGGGAGCGGGCGGGAGAGAGAGAATGAGGGAAATGGAAGGAGACTGAGAGCATGAGAATGAGTCTAGGAGAAGTGCGGAGGAATGGGGATGAGGAATGGGACGAGAGAGATGGAGTGGAATATGAGAGAGAGGTGAGGAGGAGAATGAGGGAATGGAGAGATGATGAGAGAGGCGGGAGCGAGGACGGAGATAGGAGAGGAGAGGGCAATGAGAGATTGGAGAAGCAACGAGAGTGAGGGAGGTGGGAGAGATAAGAGAGAATGAGCGGGGAGGGAGAGATGAGAATGAGGGATGAGAGATGAGGATGGAGGAGAGAATGAGGGAGAGGGAGGGAGAGAGAGAATGAGGGAATGAGAGAAGGAGAGGGAGGAGATGGATGAGAGAGAGGAGGAGGGAGATGAGGAATGAGAGGAGAGAGAATGAGGGAATGAGAGGGATGGAAATGAGGAGAGGGAGGAGGAGGAGATAGGGAGGGAAGGAATGAGGGAATGAGGAGAGACTGAGGGAGGGAGGAGAGGGAGAGAGAGAGAGAGAGGGAGGGAGAGAGGGGAGGGAGGGAGAGAGGGGGGGGGAGAGAGAGAATGAGAGAGAGGGAGGAGACATACTGTTCTTATTCTGCCTTTTATTTTCTTTTATGTTGTCTATTTTAGTCTTTGAATATTTTTTTTGTCGCTGTTGCACTGTTGAGAGGAGAGCTGGCAAGTAATCATTTCATTGTACTGTGTACACGTCTACACTGTATCCTATGCATTTGACAAATAAACTTGATTTCATTCAATTTGATGAGGGAGAGAGCGAGCGATAATGAAGAGGAGAGAGCGGGGTAGACAGGGTAAACATTGCCAGTGAGCTAACAGGATCAGACTGGCTCTGGGGCGAAGTAAACACAGTACCGAAGCAGAGATGCTGATAGATTAATTTGTATTTTTAAAGGTAATGACTAAAGGATTTCACCCCAAATATGGTATAAATGTGTAAACTGTATTAGAATTATAAGACAATAAAACCACTAACAGGGAATCTGGGTAGAAACTGTTGGAGGCCAACATACCATAGTAAGAGGGGACTTAGAAACTGCTGAAAACTATACTGTGGAAAGTCACAGGCCGCCTAAAGGTGGGCGGAGCAAAGTTCCTTTGTGTGAAGGCATATAGAAAGCCTGTGTGTGTTTTGAGCGCCAGCGCTCTCATTGAATACAAATGCCGATCCCTTGCAGACTGGAGAATATTGTTTAATTCTTAATTAACTAGAGTCTTACAACCTCTGGGAATTATTCAAAGCTTAGTATTAGAGATATAATGACAGATGCATGACTGCTCTGAATATTCCCCTCAGACTGACAGCTGCCCTCTGCACCATCAGCCTCACAACTCACTGCCCAGGTTGCTATGAGACAGTGAATGTATATTTGGGGTACAGCCTTCCTCTGCTAGGAGCCATAACTTTTCTATTTACATTATGTGGGAGTATGTGTGGGTCTCTACCGGGCCCAGGAGGGTGTTCTGTTCTCACAGACTGTCCTCTCGCCTGTGGGTGTGAAATTGAACCATGCCTGCGGTACACGGAATCCCAGGTCAAATTTAGAGGGGGAACACTAGGTTCAAGGGGGAAGGACAGGGGAGTATGCTTATAATGTGCTTGAAAGCCAATATGGAAGTATGTTGGGACGACGACCCCTCGGAGGTGGTTGGGGGGTGGGGGGGGGGGGGGGGGGGGGGGGGGAGAGAACTAGCTCCAGTAGTACTGTGGGTAGCACATGGAAACCATAACTTTCTCCAGAGAGGCCAGGGGGGAACGGGAGGGGATAGGAGAACTATCTCCAGTAGTACTGTGGGTAGCATAGCAGTATTATAATGTACAGGGCTCTCCTCCCTCCACCATTTCCATCTGCATCACAGCATTCTGCCGAGTCATCTCTCTCATGCAGTCCAGACCCTACACACACACACACAAATCCTTAATCTTCGTATTCCACAAGCAGCTCATTTTTAGACACCGATTTATTTGTTGTGCAAGGATGGTGTTAGTGCTCCTCTTGATTTCCTTGGGGGTGGTGGACTGCGGCTGCCAATGTGAGAGTGCAGTTACGGGATGAGAAGAATATGCTGCTGTTGATGAGAATACGGTAACACATCATATAACATTGACATGAGCAGCCCTGGCACTTACCTTGTTGGTGCGGGGGTTCAACATGAGAGGCTTGCCCTTCTCTTTGGTGTGTGTCCAGCGGCAGGCGTTCACACATGGCCGCAGCGTCAGTGACGCCCTCAGTCTAGACAACATGGTGCACAGCAGTGGCTATCAGGTCCTGGAGGGGGGAACACAACAGCAGTGGCTATCAGGTCCTGGAGGGGGGAACACAACAGCAGTGGCTATCAGGTCCTGGAGGGGGAAACACAACAGCAGTGGCTATCAGGTCCTGGAGGGGGAAACACAACAGCAGTGGCTATCAGGTCCTGGAGGGGGAAACACAACAGCAGTGGCTATCAGGTATACCTAGTCAGTTGCACAACTGAATGCAAATCAACCGAAAATGTGTCTTCCGCATTTAACCCAACCCCTCTGAATCAGGAAAGAACAGTGGATTTTTTCCACCTTGCCGGCTCTGGGATTCGAACCAGTGACCTTTTGGTTACTGGCCCAACACTCTTTATCCACTAGGCTATCTGCCGCCATATATCTAGAGCCTGACCAATATGGGATGTTTGTGTGGATTGTGCTTGATTTAAGCCTTACAAGGATACTCAGAAAGCTGATTTCTTACATTTTAGGAAAGAACATGAATGTAAGCGCCACGTAGAAGAAATATGGCCCTAAATTCTAATAAAACAATGGCCAGTTTGGGTCGCAGTTGCACGTAAAAAAAACAACAACAACACAAATAGGCTAGGTCTGAACCGCGAATTCATTGTGTTTTTAAAATATGGCCCGTGCGCTGATTGAGTTTGACACCCCTGGGCTAGCGTATCTATTTATGTAGCTAGTTATTTATTTAGCAAGCTAAAAACACAGAGCCTAATGTTGCTGGGAGGAGGTCATGTCATTCGAGGAGTGGGTGAGTGACCGACTTCTTGCCATCATATCATTTGTTGGTGGCTACAGCTAGAGATGCAGGTGTCATTTGGTTAGCTAGCAAGAAATGTGAATCACTTAGCATATCTCTTAGTTGTCAATCAAATGTATGTGGCATGGATCAAATAGGCAGGCAGGCAAGTTCCCATTCAGTTGTCAAAATGTGGGTTGGGACAAGCATGCATTGGCAGGCAAGCTGCAGAAGGACGAGCAGGCTACTATTCCCCATCGTTTATCAGTGCAATTTCGACAGCTAACTAGCCAAAATAGTTTGCGAGTGTTTATCTAATGTTCCCTTGTTAGATTTTAGCTGGGCTACAGAGATGAGGTAGTCATTCACAAAATAATGTTAAACACGACTATTGCACACAGAATGACTCCATGCAACTTCTTAAGTAAATGTTTACTCCTGAACTTATTTAGGCTTGCCATACCAAAGGGGTTGAATACTTATTGACTCAAGACATTTCAGCTTTTCATTTTTTATTAAATTAGTAAAAAATAAATAAAAACATAATTCCACTTTAACATTAAGGGGTATTCTGTGTAGGCCAGTGACACAAAATCTCAACGTAATCCATTTTAAATTCAGGCAACAACATGTGGAAAAAGTCAAGGGGTGTGAATACTTTCTGAAGGCACTGTCTGGCTTAAAGCGCAATTCTGCCACTTTTCAACCTCATGTTCATTATCTCCAGCACCAAACCAGTCTCTACATATGTGACAACAGCGTGTTTCTATGATCGGTGAAAATAAATAAATAAGAAAGGTCCTAGAAAATGCTTCTGACGTCACAGGGTAGGATTAAAAGGAAACAGTGATTTTCAAAACCTGCAACGAGTTTCTAGCCAGAGGGAGGGTCTTTTTTGCTCCCCTAGTAACATAGAAATGTGCTGTTTTCACATAGCCCATGTAGAAACTGGTATTGTGCTGGAGATCATGAAAATGAAGTTGACAAGTGGTGGAATTGCCCTTTAAGCTTTGTCACGTTAACGTTCAGTTTGTCATCTCACTTAATTGCCATCTTTATACAAGTTTTATTTATTTATTTTATTTCTCCTTTATTTAACCAGGTAAGCCAGTTGAGAACAAGTTCTCATTTACAACTGCAATCTGGCCAAGATAAAGCAAAGCAGTGCGATAAAAACAACAACACAGAGTTACATATGGGGTAAATAAAACAAAAAGTCAAAAATACAACAGAAAATATATATACAGTGTGTGCGAATGTAGTAAAATATGGAAGTAAGGCAATAAATAGGCCATAGTGCAAAATAGTTACAATTTCGTATTAACACTGGAATGATAGATGTGCAAAAGATCATGTGCAAATAGAGATACTGGGGTGCAAATTAGCAAAATAAATAACAATATGGGGATGAAGTAGTTGGGTGGGCTAATTTCAGAATGGCTGTGTCCAGGTGCAGTGATCGGTAAGCTGCTCTGACAACTGATGCTTAAAGTTAGTGAGGGAGATAAGAGTCTCCAGCTTCAGAGATTTTTGCAGTACGTTCCAGTCATTGGCAGCAGAGAACTGGAAGGAATGGCGGCCAAAGGAGGTGTTGGCTTTGGGGATGACCAGTGAGATATACTTGCTGGAGCGCAGACTATGGGTGGGTGTTGCTATGGTGACCAGTGAGCTAAGATAAGGCGGGGATTTGCCTAGCAGTGATTTATAGATGACCTAGCGACGAATATGTAGTGAGGGCCAGCCAACAAGAGTGTATAGGTCACAATGGTGAGTAGTATATGGGGCTTTGGTGACAAAACGGAGGGCACTGTGATAGACTACATCCAATTTTCTGAGTAGAGTGTTGGAGGCTATTTTGTAAATGACATCGCCGAAGTCAAGGATCGGTAGGACAGTCAGTTTTACGAGGGCATGTTTGGTAGCATGAGTGAAGGAGGCTTTGTTGCGAAATAGGAAGCTGATTCTAGATCTAACTTTTGATTGTTATTGCTTTACGACTAGCCTATAATTACCTACACTTTCTCCTCAGCATGTAAATGACTGACTTTCATCTAGTGTCACTAGTCTCATTCTGTTGTCCGAAATGTCATCTTTTTTTAAACTTGCAATAGCCAAATAAAACAGTCATTACGATGTTAATTGTGAGCGAGAGTCACACCCGTTCCCTAATCCCTCCAAAAACATTAAACAAGTGACATCATCACTGTCCCATCCCCCCAACGTCTTCTTGACCTGACACGGGTAGGCCTGGCTGTACAGATGCTGAGATCCCAGACAGACAGACTGGGTGCAGGATTACATCTGACGAAAGCAATAGAGAGAGACAGTAATCTGGAGGAGAGAAAGTCATTTACTGTCCATCTGCAAAAAAAAAAGGAAGATTGTCCTAATCCTCTTCTAAAAGGAAGGCTATAAATAAAAGCCAAACATCATAAGGGAATAGGGAAGTCGTGCCTGCTTAAACTGAAGTGGTGCTTTCAACTAGAAACTGGGGCGTATTCTCTAGGAACCAAACGAAAGAAAACAGGACGAAAATAGGAGGGATCTACCGGAATTTGCCCATTAAGAAACACTTGTTTAGCTACAGTGCAAAACATTTTTGCTACGGTGTGCACTGGGCTAACGAATACACACACCCCTGGTGACTGCATAGGCCTAGTATTGAACTACGGTTGAAATGTCAGGCTAAGCCCTGTGAGTCACACTCACAAGCTTTATTCACTTCACAGTGACCTCCTTTTCTGCCCGGCCCTATAAGTTAGCTCATTGTAGCTGGCATGTCATGCGATGCGTGCAAACAAAAACACAGGCCTGCTCTTTGAGATGCTGTATTCTGGCTGCTCTACTGCGGAAGGTTTAACAAGCAATGCTATGCTGCACCAATAGTCCCGATAGTCCCAATGCTATGCTGCACCAATAGTCCCAATGCTATGCTGCACCAATAGTCCCGATAGTCCCAATGCTATGCTGCACCAATAGTCCCGATAGTCCCGATGCTATGCTGCACCAATAGTCCCGATAGTCCCAATGCTATGCTGCACCAATAGTCCCGATAGTCCCAATGCTATGCTGCACCAATAGTCCCGATAGTCCCAATGCTATGCTGCACCAATAGTCCCGATAGTCCCAATGCTATGCTGCACCAATAGTCCCGATAGTCCCAATGCTATGCTGCACCAATAGTCCCGATAGTCCCAATGCTATGCTGCACCAATAGTCCCGATAGTCCCAATGCTATGCTGCACCAATAGTCCCAATACACCAGTAAGCTTTATTTTCTCAGAAGATTTAGGCCTATCCCAACGCTCTGACTGTTTACTCGGTTGATAACTAAACTCTTTGCAAAGCAGTCGATGACAATACCACACAGGGATAAAGGAAACCGAACTGCTACAAGAAAGTTAGGGGAAAAGGATATAACTCTGTAGCAAAACATTCCAAAATTAAATATGGTTACAAAATATTGTATTTCACAGAAATGTCAGGAACTGAAGAAGAATAAAAAAAATGTTGATTTGAATGCCTCAATAACCAGGTTTCCCTCCAACCTTTTTATGCGAGTAAAGTACATGTTGGTTAAAAAAATATCACAACAGCAAATTTGTCAGTAAACTTCCAAATGTCAACAAAACAAAATACGCAAGACAAGCTGGGATCTTTTTGTATTCTGTCAAATTAATTATGCGAGAAATGGGAGGTGGAGACACCTTTGTGCGCAAATACTGACTGCAAATTAAACTTGAAGTCATGCGATGATATGCTATGTGGTCCTCCCGCTACAACTTGGGGAAAGCATGCGATTTATTAGGCTACAGATTAAATAAGTTATGATGAACTTCACAGGGTGGTGAAAGGGCAAGGTGATGAGCTTGATGCTCCTTTCCAATAAATATTGAGGGTCTTATTCTGGTGGCATGATGATCGATGATGTAGTAGTAGACTATAATGTATCTGTGAGCTGTTGGCTAGAGCGCACGAGCCAAGACCAGAATGTGCACATTCGCTATATAAACACAACATTTGTAAAAAAAAAAAAAAAAAGAATAATCTGTATTCGGTACATGGGAATTTAACCGCAAAATATAAAATATATTTTACGTGCATTACGTCATCACGCACAGCCTTTCATCCGCAACAAGTCAATTTGATGGAAAAACATCTCTGGTGGGTAAATGCGCATATTGTTTTTACGCAGATTTTAGAATATTCGCATTAAAATCTGTTGCCAATTGGATGGAAACCTAGCTAGGTGACCTGTACACTAACT